GAAGGGTAGAGACCTGTTCTCCCCTGCAGAGGAAGGCAGAACGTGCTCCAACGGAGCAAAGCTCAGGGAGCCAAGGTTTCGTTTGGATGCCAGGAAGCACTTCCTGACAGTCAGGACCCCAAGGGTGTGGAATGGGCTTCCATGAGAGGTCGTTGAGGCCCCATCGGTGCGGGTGTTCAAGGATAGGCTGGACATCCACATGGTGGGCTTGTCGTGAGCGGAGCCGGCTGGTGCCGGAGGTCAGACTAGATGGCCCGGGAGGTTCCTTCTGACTCGCTCTGTTTTCTATGTTTCTATTTACATTTAGAACCATGTGAAATGGGGATCTGCAGAAGAAAAGCAATGGTCAGATGAAGGATAAGCCCACTCCTGCCTACCTGATGCTTCTTCCTATGCATCACACCCTCATGACACCACACCTTACACCCATCCAGGGTGGCCTTCACAAAACCAATGCAAGCAGTATGAACAATATTGATACAGCAAGACAAGAACAGCACTGCACCTAAGATCAAAGTATTTTTTTTAAATCCAGCATAAGATACACAGAGCATTAGATAGCCCAAGCAAATAAAACAGTTTTAACCTGGCACCTAAAAGAATGAAGTACCAAACAAACATCTTTTCTGGCAAGGAATTCCCAAACACATGTGTTACAATTAAAAATGCAGTTTTAAGCAGGGAAATGTTTATAGGCAAGTTCTGGTAGTCTGAATGACACATAGTTTTAAGGTGAAATGTTGGATTTCATTGTCATCATAATCAGCTGACAATTTTTTCTGTGTAAGGGTGAAGAGTTCTGTATAAATTCTTGGATCCTTTCCTTGGGCCCTGCTCACACATTATTACTCTGGCAAGAACTTTCGACCCAGTCTAAGTCTCAGACAGGCACCTACCCCTTCCTTCACTATGAGGAGGATGTAATCAAGTAGCATTACAGCATTAATGCAACATAACAGCATTAACCTTGGCACCCCATCAAAAAGCCTTCTTCTTTCCTGGGACACACCATGCTCTCTCTATGTAAAAGTGAGAAGACTTTCTAAACTCCAGATTTTTTTCCCCTTATGTAACTCCCTGAGGAATGGTTATAACTATGCCCTGCCCTGTGAGGTGATTACACAGAACAGAATGTGAATTGTTGTGGTGGTGCTTTAGAATGTCCTCTAGATGAAAGAACATCCTGTAAAAAGCCCTTATTTTGGCATAACCTTGGGATAAGCAGTAACTGAACAGTAATCTGAAATATTTGCTACTTGCTCTTTTTCCTCCTGATGAAATCATTTTCCTATGCTGTGGCTTCCTGAATACTTAAGAGAATTAAAATACTGTAATAAACATACAAGATAAAACATAATATACACAATCAGACAAAATGTAAATTAATAAAATTAATAAATTAAATTAGAATTAAAACCAGTACCATAAATGTAGATCAGGGTGGATAAAAATCATTTAAAAAAACTAAATTGCATTTTTAGAAATAAAATTATTTTTCAGGAAAAATTTAAAGATAGTTTTCTATTTAAGATACCTTATTGTCCAAAGGTTATTCATCATGAATCAAGGATTAGTTTTTAATTATGTAGCATAAGGCTGTATAGTCATGCAGTGTTTACATTATTTGGTAAATAAATTCTATTAACACATTCATACTGACATGCCCTTCCAGAGGTTTCTGTAAGATTGCTAGGCAATTTTTCTGTCTAGAAGATATACCCCAATGCCTCCTACTCCTAGTCCATTCAGCCTAACCAAAAGATACCATGGTTGATGGTACTGAAAGCCACTGAGAGGTCCAAGAGAATCAACAGGGTTACATTCCCCTGGTCTTTCTCCCTGCAAAGGTCATCCTACAGGTTGACCTTTCTCCCTGCAAAGGTCATCCTACAGGCAGTTTCCATTCGAAAACTGGGCCTGAAGCCTGATTGAAAGGGGTCTATATAAGAGTGCTCGGAGCTATTCAACCACCACCTGCTCAAGCACCTTGCCCAGGAAGGAGTTTTTGGACCCTGGCCTGTAGTTACTAACATCCTCTGGGTCCAGGTAAGGCTTTTTTAGGAGAGGACTAATTACAGCCTGTTTTAAAGAGCCTGGCACCATTCCTTCTCTCAAGGATGTATTTACAGCCTCCTGGAAAAAAGCAGAAATCCCTTCCTTAGTTCTTGTAATAAGCCATGAGGAGCAGGGGACAGCAGACAGGTAGTGGGGCAGACTTGACCAAGCACCTTGTCTGCACCCTCAGGCCTCAATACCTGGAGCACATCCAACAAACAGAGACAGTGCTCTGGGTTCCTCTGCTGGTAGAACTGCATCAACTGTGGTGTTTAATTCATGACAACTCTGAGTGACTTTATCTTCAAACTGTTGTGCACATTCATCACAGCAAGCCACCAAGGACTGCCCAATTTTTCTCTGACATGAAGCACTCAGAAAAGCTCCACTATAAAGCTGGCGGAAAAGAACGGCCTCTTTGCCACCCCCACCATCACAGGGTAGGCTAGATAATGAGTTCTGACCCATGTTTGACTGGACTAAGCACAAATTCTCCTCCGCCTGCGCTCCAGCAGTCTCCCTTCTCGCTTCAATGCCCTCAACTCCTGTGTGTACCAAGGAGCTCCCCAGGTTCCGCTCAAGGGAAGTGGGTGCTTGAGTGTGATTGTGCCAACCACCCATGCCATCTCTGCATTCCACAGAGTGACCTGGGCTTCAGCAGAAACGCCAGCCATACCAGTTGGACACTCCCTCAGAGTCCTCTCAGACTCTCAGAATCCACTGGCCTCCAGGGTTGGGCAGTTTTAAAAGGTCCCCCACCCTTGCAGAGGGTAGAGGGAGCGAGAAGTCTGGACCTCAGCAGGGAACGATCTGACCGTGTCAAGGAGGTTGTTGTTAATTTCCCCCACTTCCGGATCACCATATGCCTGCCCATTTACACTATATTCCCATGGCTTCCATGTTTCTGCCATAGTTTGGCAGCAAGATCAGCCATGGATGCAGCAGATGCTCTAAGCCTGCATTTTCCACTATCCTGTTCTTACTAACAAATGCTGTTTTGGAGCCTGCCATGCTCTGATCAGACGCCTCTTGCTTTTTTCCTGTGTCCACACACTGCCTTCCTGATGCCCAGCTACAACTTTGGAATCTTGCTAGCAGGGGCACTGCAGCAGCACCAGCCACCAGCAGCAGCAACTGCAGAGACACCCACGCTTGGCACTCTCCAGTTTGGTCACTGTATCTTACTGGAGAGGTGCTCGGAAATGGCCAAGTGTTTGTGCCATTCTGGGAGCCAGTAATCTCTTCATGTGAAGGCTGCCTTATGCATGAGGAACATGTGTGCTGTGTACAGGCACTACCATTAGGGTGATTGCCCTGAGAAGCTCTGCTTCTCACTCTCTCTTTCATTCTCATCTTATGCCCTTGGGACTCTCAGCTGGCCCTGTTGTCCCTTACGCCTCTCCCCTTCCAGCAGATGTATAACACCGTCCTAGCAGCCTGTGAGAAAACTTTCATGGGCAGATGTCCACACTGGTGTACTTGGAAAAGTCTGCCTGGCAGACATACCATCTCTTTCCCTGGCACAGGTACCCACGCCGATGCCCTCTGAGCGACTGGCCACAGGGGGAGGTAGCTGTGTGGCAGTGTGTGTGAGTCCTGCACTTGGGGGACCATGCACACATGTGCAGGGAGGGAGGGGGAAGGGGTGTCTGTGTACACCTGCACATTAACACTGAGTATGGCAGCACAGAGGAGTGCTCCTGTAGCGCTGCTCTAAAGCCACAGCACTGTTCCAGTGAGCAGGCATTGGTTCACAGAGCAACAGAACACAAACAACAACAACAACAACAACAACAATGAAAGCAGCTGCCCAAGGGCAAGGCAGGCAGGAGTGGTGCACACAAGGATTGATCCTGGGCCATGGCAGCTGATAGGGTACCTCCAGCCATTTGGAGGAAAGATGGAGATGCACAGAAACCATGCATGCATGAAAACCAAGAGCCCATCTGAGCCCAGGACGCAAGGGGAGATGCCATGTTGCAGTTAGCATGTGGTGTAGCTTAGCATTATGTGTGAATGCACCCTATGGATACATGTGTAAAGGAGTATATGGGTTGAAGCTACTCAGCAGGGTATTTAGAAATCAAGAACTAGCTGTCTGTAGCACAGCAAGTTTACTTCTGCTAAAATAAAATGACGGCCACCACTGGAAATGTGCTCCAAATTCAAACTTACAGAATCGCCTCCTAATAAAAACTGCTTTCTTGCTGCTGCTGTCATTTGTAGCCTTGCTTGCTCTCGTTAAAATTCCATTACTGTTGCACGGCAAAGTGCAGGGTGAAGGGCCAAGGCTAAACCAGTTCTGCTGAAAAGGAGGTGCAAACAGGGAAAAGTACCTTTCCAAGCCAAGCAGGGGAAAGTGTGAAGTGCACAGTCACACCTATTTACTCCTCAGTCTTTGCAGCTTTACACTGTGTATTCTTAGTAAACAAAGAAATGTCACAGGAAATCTATATTCAGTTGGTGATGATTCTGAAATGGTACATAATACCTCTGTTCAATCATGTTAAATATACTGTGTCATTAAAATGAGCTGCTGTGGGAGCCTCTTTGTGAGCTTAGACACAGAGTTCAGTGTTACAGAAGCATTTGTGCATGATAATAAATTTGTCTCCAAGGGAAAGCAAACTCTAAATACTTGTCAAGGTTGGATTGTAGCAACTGTCATAACTAGTCTCTGGGTTACATCTATCTGAATGTGTATGTGTAATCATTTCTTTGCCACATTGATAGATAACAGTGTCTAAATATGCAAGTTGAGTTTTCATTCATGGCTCAGTCCTGTGTTAACTTATTACATTCCATTAGACTTACTCCCAAGCTAAGTTCATATTGGATTGGGGCCAAAGCATGGCGCAGATACTTTTCCAGAGGTGCTCCCCAGGAGAGCTGGGAAGAGGTGGGTGATAAGGAGGAAGACTCAACCTTTCAAAGAGTGATTCTGCAGTCACCGATGAAACAAATCTCATCAAACAAATAAATATGAATTTGCACACTGAACATTTGAATGTTGCTAGATTCATATTTTACATATGATGTAATATCTGGAATTATATCCAGGCCCCAATGGGGGAATGAGCACTGTCTATCAGATAAAGTGCTGAACTTGCGATGGAAAAGAGTGGGCTCAAAGCTTTGTTCAGCTGCATTCCGTCTGAGTGACCTCAGGCCATCCTCTTTCTCAGCTTCACTAGCTTCTCAGAGTCCTTATGAGGATAAAATGTATGAAAATGCCATGATGACTAGCTGGAGCAACTTGGATATCACATAGAAATATAGTAATGAGACAGATCAAGTTCTTTCTAAGCTCAAACCTTATTACCCAAGACCCAAATTCTGCCTGATGACATTTCCTGACATTAGGTTTCAAAATGATGCACCTATGGCTCAGTCGTGGAGTACATGCTTCACATACAGAAGGTTCAAGGTTTAATTCTGGCCATCTTCAGGTTGGGTAAGGAAAGAAACTTCCTTGATATCCTGGAGAGCCACTGCTGCTTAGCAGAGGAATTACTGAGCTGCACAGAGCAATGGTATGACTTAGTTATAAGGCACCCTCCTGTGTTTCTAAACATTTCAGAATTAGGAAAACAGGGTATGAGATTAGAACTGATTTTCTTTCAATGCTGATCAAATATTTATTATTGCTTTGGAGAGGACAAAAGATTATGCAACATACTGATCCACAATTCAGGGGACCTGCCAGTCTGAGCTTGAAGAAGCAATTTCCTTTAGGATTCAGTTTGAGTAGTGGGATATAAAGCAAGACCGATCCAGTAATGTGAATGCAAATGATATAAAACTATGAACAGGATGCTGATGACAACCCATTTTAATTTAACTTTTGCAATCTGTTTTAACTTTTATCATCTGTTTTTCCTGTAATTAAATGAAGTTCCAAAATATACTCTAGGGATAACCAAAAGAGCATGGTCAAAGGTATGCAGGAACTTACTGCTCCTTTCTTTTACAGTGTGCCTAATTTAAAAATGAGTTATCCTCACACCGAGGGGGAAGAAAAAATACTGAACGATGAGCTAGAATGCAAAATCTGTTACCAGAGGTTTAATGTTCACAGTCGCAAACCGAAAATCCTGGACTGCCTACATAGGGTCTGTGCTAAATGCCTGATGAAAATCCTTCACGTCGGAGATGGTTCTCCTTGCATTAGCTGTCCTTTCTGCCGTCATGAGACAGAACTGCAGGAAGAGGAAGTGGAAGGACTCCCTGATGATACAAACATCATGTCCAAACTCACAACAAAAGACAAAATAGCATGGAGTTCGGACAGCAAAGAAGTTGTCTTGACACCAAAGAACTTGGCTTCTTCAAGTCCATCCCATGGGTCATCAAACTGCTTGGTGATAACAATCATGGAAGTACAAAGAGAATCCACAAGCCAAAACACTCTCTCAGATTATTACCCAGATCATAGTTTTGACTCAGTGTCCGTAAATTCTCACAGCCAACTGGACCAGGATGTTTTCTCTAAGCTCTGTAATCATGTCCCCAGAATACTTGTTTGGCTACTTGGATTTTTCTATTTTGGCTCTTTGCCACTTGGAATCTATTTATTGGTGATTCAGAAAGTGACCCTTGGAATTGTCTGTGTCAGTCTTGTTCCATCCAGTCTAACAGTGTGTCTTGTGTATGGTTTCTGTCAATGCCTCTGTCAGGGAATGTGTGACTGCTCCGCTAGAAACTGACATTTTAAAGAAACAGAGTTTTGGATATTAGAATTATAGACCTTCAAAAATACATCCTATTAAAATTTAATAGGCTTTTAACTACTGGCAACAAAAAGGGGACATTTATGCATTAATGATCCTAACGTTCATTCTAGCCTCCCAACATTTTGTCATGCCTTGCTAACTGAGCCCTGAAAGGACAACAGCCCCTTCTGTGTACTTTAGAACAAGATACATCGAGGTAGAAGGCAAAATTCTCACTCCAAGCAGTGGAGTCACCCTAGTGGGCAGAGGCAGTTTAGTTCACACCCACTAGTGTCCCTGAAGGCATTGCCTCAAAAGTTGTCCACAAGACCCAACTGCTGCTGAGAGGCACTCCTCTCCCAGGAAGAGCAACATCCCTCCTTTGCCTCCTAATGTAGAGAAAACACAGTAGTTTTGTAACACTTCTGCCAAAAAAACCCAAAAGCAAAATAGGGATTGGGAGGAACAAGACAGACTGAAAGGCATATTTGATTTGTGAAAACAGGTACTGGGGGAGATTTAGAAAGATAGCTATGGCCTGGTTTCTTGCTCTGCTGCAGCAAAGAGCTCTGTGCCGGATGGGAAGTGCAGGAGGTACCGAAGCAAAGGGGAAGGACTGCAATTCTTGAAATTATCCCCTATATGTCTAATGCAATAGGCCTTTACCTTGTATGGAATAAAAATGTGAGTTTGTGTGTGCCTGCACAGTCTGAAAAACTGATTAGCCTAAGCACTATTAAGAAAATTATCCCTCATCCTGCCCTGAATATTCAAATAACGTCTGGAAATATCTGGAAAACAAGTACATTTTTAGATAGAAACAAGTCAAAAAACAAAAGAATTATAGGATGCCCTTTTAGACAGCTGGTTATGATGCTGACACATTCTGAAATAGGAGGTTTCTGCTTCATTGTATGGACTAACCTGTTCTGGAATGTTGATATGCTTTGTTTCCAAAGAGACATTTGGAAACCTTTTCTTCTAGAATACACTGCTACTATTGTTTCAAAATATTCAATAAACAATTATAACTGGGAGAAAATACTTTTAAAAATCATGTCAAATTTCATATTATTGTCTTGTGAGCAACCTTGCACAGTAAAGCCACCATCAAGCCTCTGTGCTGATATCAATCTGATGCTGCCTACCTTTACCTGAAAATAACCTGCACTAAAACGAATGGGCATAATCTAGCATTTGGAGGGCAAGCTGCATAGGTCTCTCTGTCCAAATGTATCACTGAAGCTAAGAACACAATGCTACCAAAACCAGCATGCAGGAGCTGTGTGCACAGGAGACTCTTCCTCGTGTATCTGCTGATTGTGGAGATGCAATTATAGCCTATCGGTAGTGTGAGCATGAGGATTCTAGCTGGGGTAGGCTAGAAGGATGCAAGTTACTCCTGTTCAAAGTACAAGCGGGCTTGGCTGGAATCGGGGAAAGAGAGGGTGACATCAGACATCTGCATGTTATAGGCCTTACCAGACATGGACACAACTGGCTGTGACCTGGAGGCTTCATAAGAAACAGGTTATGTTTAGAGCAAACAGAAGCAACTGGGCCTCCTGGAGAGTAGAGCTGTGCACTAGCTGCTTGAGCTATAGCGGTCGATGTACTAATCCTCTCCCAACTTGCTTAATACTACGACAGTGCAGCCTGCTGAATCCACAACTTCTAATAAAAGCTTTGGCCCTCCTTTAGTCCCACCATTGCAAGAGTCTTCCTTCTCCCTGGGTTGTGACTGCACGGGGCAGATGCTCAAGTATGCCTCTCTAATTCATCAATAAGGTAAGAAAGGCCTCTCGTGTATCCAAAGATAAGAGAAAAACACAGAAACTGGTCTTTTTAGTGACAGCACCATAGTGGCAGATCTTCCTTTCACATCTTGAACATAAGCATTTTCTCGAAGGATTGCACTCTCTGGCTTCATATTGCAGTGAGGGCTGAGCAATGTTTCCAAAAATATAATTCGGGAGTTGACATTCTGATTACACTGCTATTTAGAAAATGATCCTAATCCAATTGGGAAAGCATGGTTTTAAACTTATCCCTTATTTCTTTTTTAAAGTGACATTTTTCAAATTACAGTAGAGTTCAAACCTTTCATATTAGAGCATAGAACATACTTGTTTTCTTCAATACAAACAGCAACTGATATAAACGGTACTCTTAGGGCTGATTCATTTCTGGACATAGCAGACAGTGTTGCTACAATGAACACCATAAGACGGATGGAGAAAAAAAATGGGCTTGAAATCATATGAAGACATCTGCTGTGACCCCAGTAATGGCTGCAGTTCTCTGGCACTAGTTTACAGATATGCATCTTCCCATGGTGCTTCAGTTTTCATTACAGGTTACACATCTGCAAACTACACCTCTGCAACAGAAAGTACTGCCAAACCCTTTGTCATTAACTGGATTAATCTTCCTCAACCAGATGTCCACTGAATGTCTTAGACTACAGCTCCCACCATCCGAACCAGAAGCTCGGCTAATGTAAATAGGAGTTGTGATCCAACAGATCTGGAGGTATTCCCCAGGCATATCTGGAGAATACTGATCCAGGTTACCAGTTTTTGCTTGCCACATGCAGCTATCTATAAGTGTGCAAATATACCTGGATCAGTTTGTTCCCCGTTTTCTCAAAATTCTCAAAACTGAGAATTTTAACTGAGCTCTCTTAGAGGTTCAAACAGCTCATCCATAATCTATGAGATATTAAAATATTTTGATTAGAGAAAGTTACACCCAGCCAGCATCTTTTTCTATGACTAAAATAGAGAGAGAAAGAAACAAAAATTAGGGCAACTGCCAGTTTTAACTCCAGGGCTCTTGCTTTTAATCAAATATTTATCTTAAGGCTAAGCAGAAGAAAGAGAATGCAAAACAAGTTTGTGAAACCGAAAGGGCAAAGCTGCTTCAGCTTGAGGTAATTTGATGTTAAAAGGTTATGATGTTTATCATTACAGTAATGCTACAGAATAATTAAAATTGACATACTTTAAAACAACATCTACACTGCACATCCACTGTTGTCATTATATGAAAGCACACATTATTGCAATGCCACTTACAATCTGCAACTTTAAATAAAGACTTCTATATACAACTTCACATATATGAATTTTTACAAATGAAGAATTTAGGAACATGCTCTAAACATGCTTCCAAAGCAGTATCTGCTATTGAAAAACATACAAGTGAAAGTGGAATAATGGCAAAGCATTCCAGCAGTGACTGCCACAAAACCTTTTGGAGTTTCTATTTTATCCAAAAATCCAGAGGACTTAACACACCCTGGTCATTTCCTGAAGAATCCAGCCAAAAACTATCTCAGAGCTGCTAATCCTTTGACAAATTAAAAGTTCCCCAAAGGTGCCTGACTGTGAAAGAGTATGCTGAATTAGATGGATCTTTGGCTGATTAGATATAAAATGCATTATGATTACCATATGAAAATCTTGTCAGTATTAGCCCCATTTTGCAGTCTGGCTCAGTCCAGCCATGAAAACCCATCTAAGAGAAATAATTTGTAAAGTTCTATCCTTTTCTCAGGAATCCATCTGAGATGGGTTCAGGTTAAAATATCGTTGAAACATGCCCAGTCCCAACATGCTGCTTCCAAGATTCTCAATTAAAACAATCCTCCTAAGACACTGGTTCTCTCAATTCTCCTAATATACTGAATCTACCTGAATTTTAAATCTAATGAGGTAGTTCCTGTGGCTGTTCTGATCCCCCACACAGTTGTAACAGACTGTAGCACAGAGCTTGTTTTCACAATCCTGCTCCTTCAGGATAAAACAGTCAGAAAACAAGGATGGGAATAAAAGAAGTAGGGAAAAAACTATTATCATATTGTTTTACCAATGTTTTCCTACCAATCTTCATAGTTTAGACACATTTTCCAAGCACAGTACTGCAGAAATTCAATGCATAAGCATCAGCCAAAATCAACATTATGCAAAATAAGTGAATGTCACAGAATTTTTAACAAAAGCACATTTGTCTGACTGCATTTAAAAATTAAATTCAATATATAACCAAAATATTGTACTGTACCGCTTATACAGTGTTCTGCTAATTCTACTACTCACCTTCACTTTCTCTTCTAATCTTCCTAGACGTACGTTTCCTTCTATTATTTTGTTGAGAACACCATGCTTCTCTTTTTCCAAGCAACTGGCCTGGGAGAAAAATGGGTTGGTGATAAATGAATCTGTAAAGGATTCTGCTTTCTGAAAATTTCTACCAAATTCTTGGGTAGTTTGTATATTGCATAGGGAACCTAAGCAGGAGGGGCTGGCCATTGTGGGAAGGGGATGCTGGATTGGATATGCCTTTGGACTGATCCAGCATGACTGGTATGTTCTGCAATAAGAACACAGGAAGCAACCTTTTACTAGGTCAGATCACCTCTCCATTTTGCCCAGTATTGTATGCTCTAACTGGCAGCAATTCTGCACTGGTGCAGACAGAGGTCTTTTCCATGGCCTGCCACCTTGTATCCTTTTAGTTGGAGATTATGTACTCCTGAGTTAAGGAATAAATATTTTAAAACATTAATTTATCAAAACCAACTCTTCCAGCCCCCTGAAAATACCCTGCAGGTGAACTATGAATAGGATAGCCATAAAAAATGAGTGTAAACCAAGCTCTTCTGATAGAAGGTAGATCCTGGATCTTATATCTCTCCTAGTTTCCTTGAAAAAGAGTTTGGCGGTAAAATCAATGTTTCATCCTACTTTTATGTGAAGATAATTCAGCTTCCTGTCTGAGCCCAAGATTCTACTACAAAGTGCCTGAGGTTTGCTGCCTTAATTTATATAGCAAGTCCTTCATTATGTTTAACACAATCATTTTATGAAGCAATTTATGGAGTACTTCCACCTGTTCTTAGCAATTAGAGCACTATGTGCAAACATGAATACTTTGTTCATGATTGACTGCCATTTTGTAAACTTAGTTGTGTAAAGGCACAGCATGAATAACCAGAAGAATGAGGCTTTTGCCATTTTCAGGAAAATGCTATGCTATTTATGTAAATCACACAAAACTCAAACAATCCAACCAGTAGTATACACAACCCCTGAATATGCAGAATACTCAGAATAAGTTTCATTAAATTCAATGGTCCTTATTCATAGGTTTCAGTGTGTATGAGATTACAACCTTCTGCTCAAAACACTGTCCCACTTGACATAAATAGGATTTTCATTAGCTGGTGGTCAGTTTTTTGAATCAAAAGAAAAACATGCATAGGTAACCTTTTTAAATTACCAAATTTAAAAGATGATCACGTTCTTGAGTTATATTTTCTGCCAAGCTTATCAGGTTTGCAAGATACTGATGTGCTGTGATCTCTTTTTCCATTGATTCTTCCAACTGCTGCTTCAGAATACCTATTTTCTTCTGTGATCTCCTACAAGGTTGTTTGTTTTGGGTAAAAGGCAAAAAGATTGCTTAGAATACAATACAGGATTGACAATATTGTAATTCAGCTCTGGTATAATTTAGCATCCACAATGATTTCAGTGTTATTGAACCAGTTTAGCCTATAGCATAAATATAGAAATATTGCATTACAATTACACACAAGTGTCATGGTAGCAGGTCTGCATGCTAAATCTTCAACAAGTAATCAAGAAAAAATGCAATCATCTGTGCTTAAATATTTGCCTGGGGGACAGGTAACATTGTAAGAACTTGGCTCATATGAGTAATATTCTAGGCATCCTGTTCAAATTTACAGCTCTTATTTCACTTAAACAGATACAGCTAAGACAAACACTGCTTATTCTATCCAGTAACAGACTAAATAGCAACTTATTCTTCCATTCCATTATTCTTGCTAATGAGTTTCAGTGTACTGGGACAATGGACAAGTATTAGATAACTATTTTAAAATGTTTTAAAATGTGCAATTAAATAAGGTGAAACATACCAGATTGCCTCATTTAAGCTTTTGGTCATCTCACATTGATTCTGCCTTCAATGGCTCCACTCCAGTGAACCCTTTTACCACCTGGCAACAGCATTTCTAACTTTGGGCCCAGCAGAAATACAACACAGCAGGAAGGCAACCTGCAACCTTCCAGATGTCTTGATCTACAACTCCCATTAGCCCTAACCAGAATGGCCAATGGTAGTAAGACATGATAGGAGTTGTAAACCAAATGTTCTGCAGGATCATTTGATGTCCAAGCTATTCAGAGTGCACTCAGAACAGGCATTCTGGAATTGTACTTTAGAAAATATTTTAAAATTGCTTTAAATTAGGACATATCACCTTGCTTATCATACATTATGATTTACAGTGTTTGTACACTGTTACATCTTGTCAGTTAAAATGTTTATTTTTCCTCACATAATTGTAGCAGTGGCAGTTAATCAATGAGGCATTATTTTTGCCTGGTTGTTAAAGCTGTGACTAGAATTGCCTCTCCCTTCATTATAGTATGATTGTGCTTTTTAGCGTGTGCTAAACTTTTATGACCTAAACAATCTGCTGTGAGCTGTTAACTCACAGTGGTAATGCAAACCACCTCTCAGTTTTGCAGGTGCATGTTCTGTGCCCCCTTTATAATGGCCTTCAGTTATGATGAGAGTCATGCATGGCTATGTGAATTTCCCCCTCCCCTATTTTGCACTCTTAAAGTCACCTGGTTGCCTATGCAACGGGAACTGTTGCTGGAACAGCAGAGTATGAGCCTAAGGGAGTCCCTTTGTGTGGATTCTCTACCCGCTTTGCATTCATAAATTTAAGGTTCCTCTTTCTTAGCTTCTCTTGGAGATTTAGAAGATTATACTAGCTCTGGAATCCCTTGGCCCGACTCCTACTGAACCTCTGTTCCTCTGGCCAAAGTAGCCTCCAGCTGCCAAATGTTTTCAACCTCAGCAAATTGTAACTTGTAAGCCGCTAGTTCAGCAAGCTTCAGCAAAGGGTGTGGGGGCATATACATAGGATACTTGTGCTAGGAGAAAAACTATTAGTTAAAAGAAACAAGAAAGGAAATACTGAAACCTCTTTGTCTTCTGTGCCATTTCCAATTCATCTTCCAGAGCCTTGTTTTCAGCCACCAGGTCATTTTTCTCTATAAGGAGGCTCTTTTTTTCTGCTTGCACCGATGCTAGCTTTTCCATTAATACCTGTGCTTCTTTTTCTCTCCTTTCTTGTTCCTCCTTCAACTGGCTACAGGAAAACAGTAATGAAAACCAAGCGTCAAAAGTAATTATTTCTCTTGTAGAAACAAACCATTATGGTGAGAAAGTATAATTATTTCTTTGGATGAGTTTTACTGCAGATGTTAAAAGCTGCAATTAAAGCAAAAATAGTTAACTGAAAACATTCTGCTCCATTCTGAATTTTGTGTGTGAGACAGAGAGAGAGAGAGACAGAGATGAGCTCTTCATGTAGCAAGAAGTAATGTATACTCAGGCTTAGCTACAGGCCAGACAGGGTTCAGTCAGAGTTAGGACAAAAGCAGGCATGATGTAGAATATGCATTTAAAATTAATGCACATTCAAAAAAAAAAATTTAAACAGAATCAGCTGAAGCTAGTGGATAATAATTTTCAAAGTTGCAGCAGACAAGGAGAGGGAATGTAACAGTGGCCCTAGGTAAAAGCTCATTCTGAAGTTAGTATTTGCTTTAAAAGAAATCCCCCACTGACACCTATGAGGAACTTCCTCCCAACACAAACAGCTTCAAAAGATGGATTTTGCTCAGGATCCTGAGGAAAAAATTCAATTCTCTCTCCATGCCTATTGCAATCCTGATAAATATCACCCCCTCCAACCTCACTTTTTCTTTTGGTATCTCATCTAGTTTAGTCCTAAGGTTGCAGACCGATACACATTTACCTTTGAGGAAATCCCAGTATAACATCCTATAATGCTCATTGATCAGGAGACCACTATTGCCATCTCTTCATGCTAACTTTTTAAACAGAAAGTGCCATCCTGTTTGCTCCCATGTGGGAGGCTAGTTTTAAAATGTACTGTGAGTGACAAAGATAATCACTGTTCCCAACTGCAAATGGGCTGGAACAACAAGACTTACAACAAAACCTAAACCCCCTCTTTTGCTCCCAGCTATGCAACATTTGTATCAACACCTTTTGCCATAGCAAAGAATCAGTTACAGATTAATCTGGAAGACTGAATACAATATAACATTTGTCTATTGTCTATGGCTTTGGATACACTTGCCTTAGCAGAATGTCTTTAAACTTAATCAGCTTGCTAAGAGAGAAAACAACTTTATATATTACACTTGAAGTGATATCTAATATTACTTGAAGTTTAATGGTACAGAGACAATTAGGCTATATTATACCACATATTAAGTGGTTAAGCAGGTATTTTATATATAAACAGTCCCAGATTAAATCCTGGAATCTCCAGATATATAAACCATGGAAAGCTATAACGAACAATGATCTGATTCCATAAATGTCAACAATTCCTAATTGAGATTAAGGGATACTTTGGCACAGGTGCTTCCTATGGTTGACGCTAACCCAATTCTCTGCTTCATCAGAGAATGCAGCTAGTAAAATATTCTAGTTAAACATGGAACTGATTAGCTAAACCAGACCAGATTAGCTAATTATGGTTAAAGGCAGAGGGAGTACAAGATTTCATGGTCTGCTCTGATTTCTAAGCCTGAGGCTAAAATGTTAGTTCCACTGTATATTGGATCAGTATTGCCAGATAACTTTAACAGTGCAAAAGTGATATAATTGATAAAGAAAAATGCATTAACAGCAGCAACATGTAAAAATATAACAATGTTGTCAAGTATGGAAACCTTTAAGATTTTCTCTGATTTTTCTGTTATTATATGCTTACCTTTTACATTGATTTACCAAAGCAACATGCTCCTTCCTACTTATATGATCTTTAGTGCTATCTTTCAGCTCTTTGTATGCAGAGTGCAATTCTTCCAGCTGCTTCTGATGCTCTCTTGCTTCCTCTTCTTGGCACTTTTTTTTAGCTTCCAAAATCATTAGCTGTTTTGTCAATTTGGAAACTTTGAAAGAGAAAATATAAAACACGTGAGGCAAAAAGTAGCTATCTTAGGAAACAAGAGCAGAGTGCATATAGTTATTCTCTTCCAGGATCATTTCCTGACTTTAACTGTAACAAAGGTACTTTAATATACTTCAATATAGTAAGTTAAATAATTTAGTATCATTTTAATTGTTCCAAATCAAAATTGGCAGGAGCCAGTGTTATAACAAAATTAGTGTTATGTGATCAGACTGCCTGATCCCTGTTGTTAGACTGGCTGTTACATTTTGCGCAAGCTGCAGCTTCCGAACAGTCCTCAAGGGCAGCACCATGTAGAGTGCATTTCTGCTGGTCCTGGGGGACTTCAAAATTCACACTTAGGACACCCTGTCCAGGGTGGCTCAGGATTTTGTGGTCACCATGCCAACCATGGGACTGTCCCAGCATATTGTTGGTCCAATGCCTGTGGCAGGGCATACTCCAGACCTGCATTTCTGGGGAAGATTTGACGATGATGCACTGAGTGTGGGAGACTTGGAATTAGTCACTTTGTAATGGGCAGACCACCTCCTGGAGAAATTTAGACTTGTGGCAGCTTTTCCCTTCTGCGAGGGTGTGGGACCCATTAAGATGGTCCACCCACAGAAACTAACAAATCTGGATTGTTTCCAGAGGATTCTGGGAGAGTTTCTGGCTGACATGGCTGAGGCTCCTGTCAAAGCCCTCATTGCTCTGTGGATTGCAGAAATGACCCAGGCTGTTCATCTGATTGCTCCTACGCACCCTCTCCATGGTAGAGCTCATACAGCTTTGTGGTATACCTTGGAGTGGAGAGTGATGAAGTACCTTAGGAGATGGCTAGAGTGCAGATGAAGAACTCCCATGGAATGCAACAGAAACCTGGCATGTGCTTACAATCAGGTATATTTTGAGGCAGTGAGGGCAGTAAAGAAAAAATTCCTCGCTGCCTCTATCCAATCCTCCCTGTGCCACCCAGTAGAGCTTTTCCAGTCTGTCAAGGGCTTCTTACCTTCTGGCCCCAGGAACACATTGGAACCATAGCTGGCCTGCTATAAGCTTCTTGCTGGGCACTTCCAGAAAAAAATCTGTTACATCTTCCAGGACTTGGATTCCAGAGTTATAGCAGTTGAATCAGTGGAGATAGCTAGAGCACAGTCTGCTTCTATTTTATTAGATGATTTTCAGTCAGTACAGCTCTAGAATGTGAACAAGGTGCTTGGACAGGTTCCGGCAACCACCTTTGTATTGGATCCTTGCACCTCCTAACTGATAAAAACCAGTAAGGAAGGGATAACTGGCTGGGCCAGGGAGGTCATCAACACCTCTTTGCAAGTGAGAGTACTCCCATACTGCCTTACAGAGGCAGTGGTGAAACCGCATCTCAAGAAACTCTCCCTTGGCCTGGAAAATTTGAACAACTACAGGCCAGTAGCAAATATTCCTTTCCTAGGCAAGGTTACTGCGAGGGTGGTTGTCAATTAACTCCAGGCACTCTTGGATGACACTGATTAACTGGATCCATTTCAATTGGGGTTCAGACCTGGTTTTGCCATGGAAACAGCCTTAGTCACCATGCATGATGAACTATGTCAGGAGTGAGGCGGGGGAGTGCAACCCCGTTGATGCTGCAGTACCTCTTGGCAGCTTTCAATACCATTGAACATGGTATTCTTCTGGAGTGGCTGGCTGAGGTGGGAATGGGGGGTACTGCATTGCAGTGGTTCTGTTCCTACTTGGAAGGCCATCTCGAGAAGGTGGTGCTTGGGGAATACTGCTCAGCCCCGTGGATGCTCCAGTATGGAGTTGCTCAAGGGTCTGTTCTGTCCCCCATGCTATTGAACATCTGCACGGAGTGGGGTCATCCAGAGTTTTGGAGTGTGCAGCCATCAATATGTTTATGACACAAAGTTCTATTTCTCCTTTTCATTGTCAGCAGGTGAGGCTGTGGATGTGCTAAACTGGCTATGATAATGGACTGGATAAGGGCTCAATCCAGCCAAAAAAAAAGATGCTGTGGGTGGGTGATTCCTTTGGCTAGATGAAGAGTGTTCAACCTGTTCTAGAAGGGGTTGCACTCCCCATGAAGGAGCAGGTTTGTAGCTTGGGGGTGCTTCTTGATTCATCCTTGTCACTTGAGGCCCAGGTGGCATCGCTGGCTCGGGGTGTCTTCTACCAGCTTCAGCTGGTGGCCAAGCTGCACTATTACCTTTACAGGGATAACTGGCTTCAGTAATCTATTCTCTAGATTAGATTACTGCAATGCACTCTACCGGGGGCTGCTCTTGAAGAATGTTCAGTAGCTAGAGCTGGTGCAAACCATGGCAGTCAAATTATTAATAGGTCCAAATATATAAAAGCAGTTCTAGCCCACCAGCATCGGCTCTCTGTATGTATTTTAATTTATTTATTTGTAAGCCGCACCAAGGCTTCGGCGAATGGGGCAGCCTAGAAATTTTCTAAATAAAATAAATAAATAAACAAACAAAATTTTACCTTCTTGGACATGTTCGCTGAGGTTGTCTTTTGCTTTTGTTTGTTGTATTTTAAGTTGTTCCATCAATACTGTATTTTCCTCTATAACAAGCTTGGCCTGGCTTTGCAGCTGCTGCCTATAAAAATGAAACGCCTATTAAACTTACACTAAATGAAAGAAGAAACACAAGTGAGGTTTATTAGGACAGGTCTCGAACATAAACGTTCAAAGATAAGCATATGACACACATACACAGCATTGACTATGGGTTTTTTGGTGGATCCTCAGCAACTACTTTGTTTCCCAAACAAAGGGTATGGCACTTAGTGGAGCTTCCTGCTTAATACACATTAAGTTCCATTTTCTTGTGAGGTGTACATATATAAAAACATATATTGGATCAGGGACCCCCAAGCTTTTCAAACTTGTGGGCATATTTGGGAATATTAGTAACTGCTATAGGCACCACCATCAAATGGTTACCAGGGAGGATGTGACTAGTTACATAATGGCTGCAGTAGGGGCCTGGCTAGTCAAAAGCAAGTTAAAGGGGTGTGTGGGACTAGAACACACTAGCAAGACTAGAAGATGAGAAAAAGGAGGAAATAGCAAGGGAAAGGATTAGGGGAGAGAACGAGCAGGCCAAGAGGGTTGAGATGAAGGGAAAGGCAACAAGCTTAACACCTGTTAGTACCACTGGGAGGGCCTGGCAAGAGCCATGTTTAGGGCCCCTACATTACATGGACTACATACAGCAACTTAAAAATTAACTAATTAGAGCATCCTTGAAAAAGAAAAGGCTTGGCTTGAAGAGATATAAAATATTGCTACTTTTTAATAGACCAAACTACTACTTGACCCAATATTTATTAAAATAAACATAGTCACAGTATGCAAGTGAGTTTAAAAATAGGGTCTCCTCTCCTTTCAAACAGATCTGTTATAGATACCAAATATCTGGATAGGCTGACTCCAATCTTTCATTTTCCACCTAGACTCCTGTCAGTATGTTCTAATTTTAGAAGAAGACTGCATTTGCAAAGAATGGCAAACTATGGCTTAGTGTTAAAAGGACGTATCTAAATTACTCCAAACAAAGCATTAGTTTCATGAGCTGCATCCTTACCAACTCCCCCTCTTGTACATTTGGGTGAAGAACTTCAGCAGAGATTTCAATATGAACTAGCAATTCTGGTTCAATGTATATTCTAGTCATTTTCTCATAAACCAGGGATTAAAAAGATGTTAAAACAAACCATGAACCCTAGTTAAAACATAACCCAGTGTCAAGATTCCTTAACAAGTAAACTAAATTCAGATAGCTTTTCTCCTAGCCACAGGGGAGCAGGAGAAGCAAGGTAGGAGCTCCGACACTGATTCTTCTCTGAGGTTGTTAAAACTTATTAGTTCAAAGTGACTATTACATACTTAAGATCTCTTAACCAATCTTGTGTTAAGTGATCCCTGAGTACATGTATTTGCTTAGAAATCTAAGTGCTAGATCAAACCAAAGAGGGTCCAGACAGTGTAGAGCTACAACAATTCTCAGACTTCCTCTGTCATTCTGAGTCTAGTCACACTGATCAGGCCAAACAGATTCTAGAACCCTTGACTACCAGACTTTTATTTTTCCATATACTATTTTTCAACTTAAATTATTCTGGATTTTTACATGATCTAATTTTGCTGAAGATCATCATTTTTCCTACAATAAAAAGTAACTAATACATAGTTTAATAATTTAAAATAAGAACACACTTGCCATTCTTTGGTGGTAACAGAACTATTTTTACTTAGTTGCTGGTGTAACTCCTCATTTTCCTTTACTATTTCTTCAACTCTTGCTTTAAAGTTCTTCATGTCCTCCTGGAAGGGTAGCAATAAAGAACATACACATTATAGATGGCCTGTTTTAAGTTCATGTTCTACCACCACCACCACATTGATTTATCATCTGTTTCCCTCTTACAAGGAACATAAGGTAACTTACAAAGTCCTCCACTTCATTTTAACCTCACAGCACCTGTGAGGTAGGTTAGGCTGAGTGTGCGCAACTGGCCCAAAGTCCCATAGTAAGCTTTATAGTCAACTGGAGACTAGGACTCAGCTCTCCCCATTCCCAGACCAAAACTCTAACCAAGACACTACAATCACTCTCTGGAGTTATGTTTACTCCTCAAATATACCCTAGCCTATTTCTTGACATGGTAGTCTTCTATGTGTGGGAATGAATGGATGGATGGATAGGTAGGTAAATATAGTTAAAAAGGAGAATGGATTACATGAGCTCCTTTAGATCTTTCCTTTGAACATAGGTTTATTCCTTATCAGCTCTTTGTGAGTTAAGATGGTAGAAAGGAAGCCCTACCTGAAGGAAAAATCCAGAAAGCATGTGCTCTGAGCATGTGTAAAGATATGTGTATACTCTTCATGCTATATACATTACATTGTAAAAGCACTTTTCCATTTATACTATACTGAGAAACCATTGAAAAAAAATCCAACTTGCCTCATGCACAAGAATCAAGTTTTCTTTTTCCTTCATTCTGTCTTCATATGCCAACAGAAGAGGAGATAAGTATTTCATATCCAGCTTTAAACAAAAGGAGGACATTTTAATCAAATTAAATTTACCTCAAAATTACAAATTCTGTTTAACAAAACTTAGTGAAGATCTTTTTAAATGCCTGAATAATTCCAGCAGACCTATGAAGTTAGAAAAGGATAAGAACTAACACTAAAATACCACCTTTAAGTGGTTGATATACTGAGACAGTAAGATAATGCACCAAGGAGGAGGAGTTAATTAAATAGCCTATTTCAGAACAACTCTCCAAAAAGCAGGAGTGTTATGATCACAAGAACTCACATGCCTTTCAATTTTCAATTAGATATCTGTTGCAATTATATAAATATCTCCTGAAGAAACCTACTTGAAACATGTACACATTGTAATTTTAAAAGTTTGGTAAAAATGCATCAGTTTTGCACTCAAAGATGATTTCAACTTCTTTTTTTGGAACCTTCCCCATACAGATTGTTGGTAAAGGGCCTATGCCAGGACCTGAGAGAGAGAGCATCCCTGTATAGTTATTTAATACCATCAACTATGGATGACTGGGCCCTGTTTTAATGGTTCCAGTTCTATTTGGCTGTGCTGCCTGAAGCTTATCCTTGATCTTTGGTTATTGGTGTCTGAGATTAAAAGCAGAAAGTCTTTTATGCCTTGGAAAGGTAGGAGGGAATACAAAAAAGTGTAATAAATCAATAAATCAAGCACACCTACCAAATCTGTAGTTGCAAAATACTGATAATTTGAAGTTGAATATAGATATCAGAATACAGTAATTCATTAAGCAGCACCTGACTCTCCAATATGACACAGAAGTACAATGTAAGTGCATAGAAGTACAGTTTTAAACTGTAGCTAAATTAAAACTATAAACATTTATCAATCAAGTCACCAAAGTAGCTAGAAAAAATTGGTTCAACACGGTCTGAAAACATTTAGTAGCAAATGCATAATGTACTATAAACTGAAAAATGATGGCTTTTTACTTACCAGCCATGGGGGTATTGGCTTTTTCAATGGCAGACTTCCAATTTTCAGACTCTAAGATAATAAAAAGCATATGTTACACCTAAGAGTTGCACAGCGAACATCCTGTACAACTGGGTTCTACAATCTATTGAGAGGCTGTTTTTCAAAACAGATTTTAATTGGTGCTACAATTCACATGCTGTAACTGAGTACGATTCCAAGAAGCTTTTTAGGTACCTTCTCTGGCCAATTCTGCAATATACTGAAGCTGCAGTCTCTCACTGCACAAAAGATGTATCTGCTATGATTGGGTCTATTTCCCAGATGTATTCCATGTACCAGAATCTGCCCCATGTTTTCCAAGATGCTACCGTTTTCCATTAACCTGTATTGCAAGGTACCTGGTCACCACAGGAATGTATACCGAGCACAGAGGAAATCTCATCAAAGAATTTCCCTCCCTCCCCCTGCTACCATATCTCACTAGCCTATTGCATGATGAGAATGACTGAATCTAGGTGAATCTCAGGATCATGTACTCACTCTTCTGCCACAGAAGGGAGACGGGACATTTCCCATCTGAGTTCAATTAACCAGTTCTGCTTCCTTTCTGATTAACTGAACCCTACACTGTGATTAATTATAACTATGATTTATTCAAACATAGACCATAGTTTAAAGTTGGTTTGTTTCAACAGCACATATATAGTATTAACCACAGATCCTCATATTCTGACATAAATAAATTTGGACAAAAGTCTCCAAACTCTTCTTTGCAGCTTCACTGGAGCAAGAGTGAGGAGCACATCAGCTTGGCACTCTGTCACCCACTAAAATATTGTTTAGTGCAGTGAGGAGGAGCTTGTAATGTTCCAGACATTTTGATCTATAAAAAGCAGCCCTTTTCAATATAGCCAATGCACTAGACCAAAACATCTGGAAGGCAAGAAAATGCTCACTGCTTAGTACAATGCCTGAACTGGATGATGGAGCAGAGGACACAGACTCTGGTAAAGAGGCTAATGTCCTTATTTTTCAACTATAACAAAAAAGGTAATTCACCAATGCTAGAACAGTACAGCAGGACCCCTGTATCCACTGGCTCAGCTACTGTGTTTTCAGTTAACCACAGTTGACCTCAGCCCAAAAGAAAAGTCGTGAAGTGCCATAAAATGTGCTTCCTCTAAGTGAAAATTCTTGATTTAATATGGAAAGGAAAAAATCCATATGCTGAGGTAAGAATGAAAGAAATTATAAAAAAAGAAATGTATACAGTATATAGCGTTTGCTATTATCTGAGGTTTCAGACGTCCGCTTTGGAGCTTGGAACTGATCCACACACATAAGCAGGTCCTGCTGTACAATTATGTTTGTTTTAAAAAAACTTGAAAAAGAGCATTACCTCATTAGGTGAAATTGGTCTGTATTTAGCTTGATATCGACTCAGTTCTGCATTTAAACGATGAACAGTCATTTTTAGACTGTCATTTTCATCCACCAATTCCTGGGCCTGCTGTCTTAATAAAAGCAATTCTGCATGTTCCTCTGTATTAAAAAAACCCCAACAATTTAAAAGTGCGTTTGCTTGTGCAAAGATCTGTTAAGTCTAACAGAAATTGAGACTAGTGTATGATAAATATCTACTCTGTAAATAGTAACAGTAGTAAATATATACTACACATATAAACTTGAATAATGAAGGACCCACTAAATCAAATGGATCTGACAAGGTGTACATGGCAGACTGCTAAAGGCTTAACGAAGTTCCTGCTTTTTGCTGTTAGTTTGGACCTGCAGAAACCATGCAGGTCAGAAGCTGTGTGAAGGCCTGCTTTACAGTAATGTAGCTTGTACATCAACCATAGTACTTCATGGAAAAGTCTGTGCATGCAAGATGGGGGTATAGTTGAGTGATAAATAGTTCAAGCTTGCCATACAGAAAATCCCAGGTTCAGTTTCTGGCATCTACAGTTAAAAGAATCAAGTTGCAGAGATGGGAAAGGCCTGGTGACCTACTGCCACTCAGAGCAAAATAAAGGATTAGATGGAAAAACAGTCTGCTTTATATAAGCAGCTTCCTAAGTTCTTCTGAGGTGCCCATCTCCGAATAAAGCTTCCTATACTGCCTAGTAAAATAATGGAAACACACACTCCCCATAACATATATGCATATTTCTGAAAGACAACACATTTGCATTCCTAGAAAAAGAATAAATGAACTACTATCCTTCTCAATTATTTTTATATGATCTCAAAGCAAACAGATGGAAATGGTAGAAAACCCCCATTAATAATATTTGATGGTGATATTCATTTTTACAAGTGTCACTATTCCTTCATGCCAAAGAAGGATCAAAGGTAACCAAAACAAACTTCCTTGATATTTTATGATGTGTTTCTAAGGGCTCTGTCCAGCAAAGATTTCAATTACAGGCTGGATCATCATCTTTCAGCTGCTGACCTGGAGATCAGAGGGTTCACAAGAATGTGTTCAACTGATCTACAAAGAAGGGAGCCAGCTGAGAGTCTCAATGTAAGATGAGAAACCTTTTCCTCAAGCAACACAAACAGACCCATCCTCTCAGGAATAAGTTACGCCTAGTTTTATAAGATCCCTGGGAGGAACAAGGCAAATTCACTTTGTATGCTAAATGAGTAAGATACGTCCAACCTAACCTGGCTTTGTCCTACCCTACAAGAGTAGGATGGAATCTTCTATTTATATGCATGTACCATATGCATATAAATACAAGCAGATTTTAGGACATTTTTCCTAATTTTGAATCTAGACACTGGATCCTTAGGTAAAGAACAGCTATTGAATCACTGGCTTAAACCTCATATACTGTCTATTCAAGCAGCCTCAACTAAATTAAGCAAACACATTTGCATTAACAAGGATAAAACAATTTTTCTAATACTGGCATTTTCTAGATGAATAATTCATTTTCAACTAATAAGAATCACTCACATTATATACTATCATTAACATTCAAATACACACTACATTCTTACCCTTCAAAAATTATTTCAGTTTGTGTCAGATACATTAAATAGTGTCAAATAAAGAGGGAAAAGGTTCAACAGTATTGCACTGTGTTATCCTAGTTCACATATAAACATGCTCAATTATGGTTACAATGATTCTTTCCCACCTTCATCATGTGAATTCTGTGCAGTTTCTTTAAATTGTTTATTTTCATTTTCAAGTGTCTTAACTTTTAACTGGAGTTCCTTCACTTGCTGCTTTTTCTCCTCAAGTTGTGAAAAAAGGGTGCAATTTGCATTCTTTATATGCCAATTCTCTTCTTTCAATCTCTGCAGCTTTACTCTAGGGAGATCCATCTGTCCTTGCTTTCTGCAGATTACTACATCTATCAATGAAATGGAATAGAATATTCAGCCACACATACATTGGAGCTTCTTGGTCAAAAAGCTGCTCTCCTATCACATAAATTTAGAAGAAAGCATCATGTATGGAAGGCTAATTCATTCTAAAGTAAATACTTAAAGATTTAAATATTCATGATCGCCCCATAATTCTAAACATTTCAACTTTTTTTGTTCCAACTGAAGATAAAACAAAAAATCCCCTAAAGATTTAGCCAACTCCATATACTCTACCTAATGTTTCCAAACTATACCATACATTAATTCCACCAATTAGGCTGAGCTAAATCAGTAGCAGTAACAAAATTATTTATGCCGAACGCAGGCATGTTGATTCAGTAGCAACTTTTCATCACCTGATATTTTGCAAGTAGCAAATACTGTGGCATAGAAAATTGGTACTTGGGCTAGTGCTAACAAGAAAAAAAGAAAAACTACTTTTCCCAGCTGTAAAATATGGGAATAATTTTAAGAGCTTTTCTATTATTAGAAAGCTTGCTGTGTAAAATGAACTAAATCTTTCCAGATCTAGTCGCCTAAGGTGAAGAAAACAAAGCACGAGTATATCATGTAAAGCAAATTCAACTGAAACATTTATAACTGAATTTTTTGGTAAAGTAAATGAGTAGGCCAAGTAAAGAATATGTCACAGCAAGCTAGCACACCTTCCCTAGGTTCACATGTAACAACTAACCATGCATTAACCAACCCATTGTCAGGAATACGTGGATATGCTGCCTCCTAATCACTTCCTGATAACAAACCACCTCATTCTTGGATTATTTTCTGCAATGTCTGAACCCAGAAGTCTGGGCTGTTGATGGGCATTCAACCCAGAGTTTGTTGTTGGGTTAAACTTTCCGTCGTTTACTTCTCAACTATCCAGAATTCTGGGTTTGCCTGTTGCAGCAAACAGAGCAGTCTTGGATCATTTTGTAAAGAAGAGCCAACAGAGTCGTGCCACGCTCCAAACTATTGATTAATTAACCTATGGATCCACATTATTTATTTATTTAAACCTTTTTTTAATATCATCCACTACCAAGGTCTCAGGAGAGTTCCACAGTAAAGCAGAATAAAACAAAATAAAAATGCAGTTTTCTAATTGATTTCTGGCAATAAAACCAGGTCTTCCTGCTCTGTCGAAAAAACCAGGTCCAGAGTGCAGCCTCGTTCACGTGTTGGGCTGGTGACATGCTGAGACTGCCCCATGGCTGTCATGAAGTCCTGAGCTGCCCTGGTCAGAACAATCTTGGCATGGAGATTGACCCCAACATCCTCAGGGTCCTCAACACCAGGTTCGAGATGATCTCAGCTCAGGCTGGAGTCTGCTGGGCAGAAAGGTGCATGGTACACCAGCAGAATCCCCAGTCTGTCTTGATCACCCAACACCAAGTGCAACACTCAGGACCCAGCCTTGAAGAGACAGGAAACCCTGAGAGGGAGATTGAATCTCTGTAAATTAGTGCCATGCCCCCTTCTCTTCCCTTCCTTTTTAGGCAGGGTTGGTACCTCACCAGATCCCTGGGCAGGCACAGCTGGGTGAGCACTATGCCCCCTGCTTTTCCCACCCAGGTCTCTGTGATACATGCCAGGTCAGCCCCCTCATCACGGTAAAATCATGAATGAGGGATGTTTTATTTTGGACCAACCTGGCATTCAGCAGCAGCAGCACCAAGCCTAAGGGCTGGTTGATATCACTGTCTGATAGCTTCCGGCTGGTCAGGGGAAACAGAAAAGGGGACAGATACTAACCATCTGCATCCCCTTCTTCTGCAGTAACCTGTTAACACGTGAAAAGGTTCTCACTTGCTTCTCCAGTACTGTTATAAGGAGATTCTAAGCAACCATTTCCTTTGTAGTATAACCACTTTAACTAGCAGTTTATTTTAACTATGGTTAGCAGAAACAAGCCAGCTTTATAAGCTCCTAATGGTTATACCAGAGGTAACAGAGGAAGCACATGAGTCTGAGACTCACCTAAGCTCATTGTAATATTAGAAACTATGGCATAGCATCCAATCTGATTTGCAGCATCTAACTTAACTAATTTACAATCTTTCCTTCTTTCATTTTGTTAAAAGCAGAATTAGTACCTGAGGATGGTGGAAGCTTTTCATTCACTGGATTTTCAGTTGAGGGTTTTTCCACCTACCAAAGAAACAAAATCATTTCATCTAATTTCCTGTTAGAGTTCCATTTTCCAATAGAATTGGGTAGCAACTTCAAGAAGAATATAGTGAACATTTAAAACCTTGCAGGTATAAATTTTTTAAAGGTTTTTAAACTGTGATATTACTAAAATGTTCTCCGACAACATAAACAAAATTATTGGTGCCTGGTATATGGGAGGAAAAGATAGCATTACAAGATAGCATTAAAAAGAAGCAACCAAGATAACCTAAGTTTGCAAGCAATTATGTAAAATTGTACATTATTTATACCTCATTTAACTGTATCCCTCCTTCTACATTCATCGTGCATAACATATGATCTTGAACACCCTTTCGTTTGTTTGACTATTCAACCCCTATTAAGTAGATGGTAAAACCATAAGACAAGATGTGTCTTAGCAACAGAGGTCTGGGTTCTATGGCTCAGCTCTAAAGACTAATTTTAGTTACAACCAAGTGTTCAGATATGATGGAAGTGATTTTTTGTTTTTCTTAGTAACTATCATAACATAATCTATTTTCAAAGCTCCATCTCAGTTTTCAGATGGAAAATATAACAATCCTGGCCTGCTTTCTAGGGTTGTTTTGAGATAGAAGGCAATATGGACAGCCAACCCATGAATTAAAGCAAAGTCAGTTTCATCCATGCAAGTATTACTGCATATGTGCACCTTATCCATGGTACAATGGTGTCAGAGTAGGACTGCAGAGACCCAGATTCAAATTTCTACTCAGCTATGAATCTTATAGGTTACTAACTCACAATCTGACCTACGTCGTAGGGCTGTTGTGAGAATAATGTAAGAGGAAAACCATGTATGCTGCCCCGAACTTCTTGGAGAATAATGGGATGAATAAGGTTAGCAAGAAACCTAAATGCATTTCTAAAAACATATGTGAATACATTTATGATCATTTTACCTTAAAACTCACTCCAGCCTGTTCAATTTCTGTAAAAATAAAGATAATATATTTAAAGAAATTCACAATTCACTACCTAACTTGGAAGATACTGGAGAAGTACAACAAATTTCAAAACTTCTCCCAACTGAGACACAGCTTCAATCTTTTTCTATTTTTATAATGAGGAGCAGTGCAGAAAGGCTTCCTGTATGCCTCTCCCATTTCTCATTTCATCTGTTTGAGTGGAGATACTGGAATTAAAGTTGGTGTGCTGTCCCCATTGAGAACACTTCTATATTTCAATTAACTAGAGTTTTGTGTTTAATCCAAATCAGCAAACTATGGTGAATGGTTACCAAACAGGTCAGAATATGAAGCCATAGATGAATGCTGGCTTAATAATAGAGGGTTCACAAATATGCAGAAATGTCTATGCATGTGCACCTGAACATGTTTAGAATTACCCTTCAGACCTCTTCCCTGAACTTGCTACGGTCAGGGGTGGAACTGATGAATGAGAAGAGAATTGACACATGTGCCCACATCATCTTTAACACCTTCTGTCTCATATATTCAGGCTGAATGCATAAATAGGTTTTCTGTGAGTTTATTAGGCTTAGGAATGAGAACAGCTGAGACATGAAATGCTAAGAGAAAAAAAGAAAAAGGAAAACAGAATTCAATGGAAAGAGGAAACTGACTTGCTCAAGTCCCTAATAGCTTATGATAAGTATCCTGGGCTAGGTAAGGGTTTTGTGCAGGAGAGAGATATATCATGAAGTTAAAAAAAAAACCCTATCTATCTATCTATCTATCTATCTATCTATTTAAAACATTTCTATGCCGCCTCATTCGCAAAGAGCCTCGGGTCAGCTTACAAAACAGGCACAATATACATAATTAACCATTATTATTATTATTATTATTATTATTATTATTATTATTATTATTATAACATTTCTTAAAATTTGGAGACATCTCGGCTCAATATAAAACCCATATAAATAGACAATTAACAATTAAAATAACTTTTAAATAAAAAGGTCTTGGCCTGGCGCCGAAAAACAAATAACGATGGTGCCAGGTGAACCTCTCTGGGGAGCGCATTCCATAGGTGGGGCACCACCACAGAGAAGGCCCTCCTCTGGGTACTCACCCTCCTAATATCTTTCACGGAGGGTTCCTGGAGAAGTGCCTCTGCCACTGATCTCAGGGGGCGGGAGGGCATATATGGACACTAGCGCTCCTTTAGATAATCAGGTTCCAAGCCATTGAGGGCTTTATAGGTGATAACCAACACCTTGAATTGGGCTCGGACTTCAATGGGAAGCCAGTGAAGCTGACGGAGGACTGGGGTTATATGAGAACAATGCCCAGTCCCCATCAGCAACCTGGCAGCTCTATTTTGCACCATCTGAAGTATCCAGACCGACTTCAAGGGCAGCCCCACGTAGAGCGCGTTACAGAAGTCTAATCGGGAAGTTACCAATGCACGTGTCACTGTTGCCAGGCAATCGTTCTCCAGGTAGGGACGCAGCTGATGGATCAGCTTAAGCTGAAGGAAGGCGCTCCTCGCCACTGCCGTCAACTGAGCTTCTAATGACAGCTCTGGGTCAAGGAGCACTCCCAAGTTGCAAACCCTTTCCCTAAGAGGGAGTGCAACCCCATTCAGGACAAGGTCCAGGTCCCCCACCCCGAAGCCTGACCCACCTACCAATAGGACCTCCATCTTGTCTGGATTGAGCTTCAGTTTATTGGCCCTCATCCAGCCCATTACCTCGGTCAGGCACCAGTTCAGTACAGCCACTGCCTCACCTGGATTAGTTGAAAACGAGAGGTAGAGCTGGGTATCATCAGCTTACTGATGATTCCGCAGCCCACACCTCATAATGACCTCTCCCAGCAGTTTCATGTAGATGTTGAATAGCAAGGGGGACAAAATGGACCCCTGCGGAACTCCATGGCATAACTGCCATGGTGCAGAGCCACAGTCCCCCAGCACCACCTTCTGGAATCGGCCATTGAGATAGGAGTGGAACCACTGCAAAGCAGTGCCTCCTCCTCCCAATCCCACCAGCCCATCCAGGATACCATGGTCGATGGTATCGAAAGCCGCTGAGAGGTCCAGGAGAACCAGCAGGGACGTACTCCCCGTCTCTCTCCCTGCACAGGTCATCATACAGGGCGACCAAGGCAGATTCAGTACCATACCCGGGTCTGAAGCTGGACTGATATAGGTCCAGATAATCAGTTTCTTTCAAGAGTGCTTGGAGTTGTCCTGCCACCACCCACTCTAACACCTTGCCCAAGAACGGGATGTTGGCCACCAGTCTATAATTGGTGGCCATCTCTGGATCCAGGAATTCCTTCTTTAGGACTGGCCGGACTACCGCCTCCTTTAAAGGGGCAGGTACCCAGCCGTCCCTTAGAGAGGCGTTGACTACCTCCAGGATCCAGGCCCCTATCCCGTCCTTGGCTTTCTTAAGTAGCCAAGATGGGCAAGTATTCAGAGATATTTCAGCAGATGAGAAAAAAGAGGATATCTTTCCCCCATTCAACAGATGTGTGCCCCTCATATATTCCTGTAAAATGATCAAGTTTCAGCTAGAGCACAGGGGGAAAATATCCTTTATCCCTCTCTCAAGCCTGAAATTCCATCTCCAGAAGGCCACAGAACTACAAGGTCTCTGGCTCCAGGCTCGCTGGAGTGATATGTGGCAACATTTTGTTGCAAGTCCCAGCTAGTAGACTCTGGAACATTAATCAATTTGATCTTTTGTTTTATTTTTCATGCTGCTTCATAGCATTTCATGTCAAAGCAAGAAGTGACTTTACCTTCCACCTGGATATTTGGATGAATGAGAGAACCAAGTTCAGGGACAGAAGAATCATCTTCCTCACCATTGCCGTTACTTGAAACTGGGAGAATTTCCTAAGTAAAATTATTACAGTTCAATATATAAATCTACAGTCCAACCTACAAGCAATGTGCATGCTCAGGTACATGATAGCTTCCTGAAACTACTACCTAGAGGCACAAAAATCCCCTAAGGGCAAGTATATATGCTAGGGAGAGTTCTAGCTTCTTCTCTCCTGCTCGTTCACTGCTCACAGTACATTCCTTTCCTCATCCCCCAATTGCCATTCTCTGGTCCCCTTTGTCCTGTTCCACTCTACAGTCCCCATTTTCTACATTCTCCACCCGCATGCTTGAGCTCTCCCACCACCTCACACTTCACCAATTTTTCACTGAAAAGGGTAGTCTAGGCACTGCAACCTGCATTACTACGTTTTTCTTAAAATTAGGGTAAACCACTTTGGAGGCCTTTTTCAGCTAAAGAGTACAATAAAAATGCAGTCCAAAAATAAATTATCAAAAAGTGCTAGAGAATTTCCTATGCAGGGTAATACAAGTGGCATTTCTTGCACTGTCATGGCATTTATCAATAATGCTAGTGATTAAACTCTGTACAGGATGCTTCTGCTTCTTATTCATGCTTAGGCATGACAAAATCCAGGATCTGTATTAAGACATTAATCTATCAAATGCACATGCATGCCCACACTCCTTAACAATTTAATTGTATTTGCATTAGTTACATTTATGTAACTTAGCATACAAAGTAACATACTTGTTATTTTTAAAAAGTACTTTGGCCTTAGTACCCAATACACAGGTAGTTAGAGAATCTCTCTTTCACAGCATTTTTTGATAATTCATAAACTAGTACTTACGTCACAGAAAACAAATAACCACTAGAGCATTTTTAGATAGCAAAAAACAACAGAGTTCTATAGGAGTAGTAGTCTGGCTTCAACACCCATGCTGCAACAAGCAAACAAACCTATTGCAATGTATGTGGGAGACTGGGTAGCCTTGTTTATCACCTTAAAAAATCTGGGGAAAAGCAGGGTTACTGCTGAAATATTGTTCCTAGGCAAGCACTGTTTTATAAGAGGTATTATTTGCCTCTTGCATCCTTCCCAGGAACAGAGAAATGGATATGTCTCCTAAGGCAATACCTGCCATTTGCAGTTCTTAATAAGAATTTAATAAGAAAAAAAGAAAATATATTTTTAAATTTGCTCTACTATTGATCAGGGAATCCTTCTTAACGTTCAAAATCAATTACTCTAACTGGACCAATCAACTAAATATTCCAACACATACTGCAAAAATGAAGCAGGTGAATTTGCAGCAGTTTCTATGTTATGAGAGCCTTCTTCAATAATCTGTGGCACTGAACACTGTAAGTTCTTCTATCGGATTGTATGTTATTAATTTCTTTTCCTGTTAGTACTATGCCAGTCCTAACATATTATCTTTTCTCTGTTTTGTTTTTACCTTTATTCTTAGAGTCAATCTATACATTGAGAAAAGCACAGGAGATACTACCCTGCAAACTAAAAGTACAGCATTTCAGAATGCAGGTAGAAGCTTTGCATATTTGAACACTTCCTCTTGTAAAAATCCCTGCAAATCCTGTCGAAGAAAAAGCAAAGCTAGAACCTTTTCTTCTGTCGTATTAGCTCTCCACATGAAGAGAAGCATTCAATCATAAATTCTTCCACCTGCACACTGAAGTGCTGGAAATGCAGGAGGGCCAAGTCACAATCTTTTTCGGAACACATAAGTCATACTTTAGCTTACAAACCTGAACTTCGTCTCCAAAGGTTCTTATTTCTTTCAGCAGGACTAATGCATAGTGAAGGATTTCAGAATTTTTGGACTTGCTGCTTTTCTCTGTCTCACCTAAGGCCATTTTCTGCCTCCTTACACAAACGCTAAATTTTATTGCATGCTTTCCCTTCTTTTTCTTTCCCCTCCAATGCTTCTGTCTACTAAATATTTAATTGCATTTCATGCAAGGCCCTAACTTAATGTGATGACAGACTGTTAAGCTGTTTGTTCACTCAGTTGCAAGTGATACAGATTGACACCACAAAAGGGGAAAATCAATTGGAATTGTAGTTATATATACATACAAACAACATTGAGCAGATATGTGCCAATCATTTATTTAAAATAAAGGGCAGCAAGCCATTGCTGGTTGCACCAAACCACTGCACAGCAGTCAGTGGAGCAATTGTCACTGGTGGTGGTACAAGTAAGATTGTCAAGACTGGGAAAGGATTTCCCCAGTCCTTAGTTGCTGCTTCCCACAAACTATGATGGAATTAGTCTCGCAGGTTCAGATGTCATGCCAAAACATTGAGGATTCAACAACAACTAGAACAAGCCATCAGTTGTCAGACTGGTTTGCTGCCCAGAAACAAGCAACTATGCAAAAATCAGTACACGTTCAGACAGCAAAGCAACCCACTGTGGTTAGTTGTGCATCACTGTGTCAATTCATCATTGTGGCATCACAGTTTTAGAACTTTTTGAAGGAATGATGCTGCCGGTCTTCCTCTTCTTGTAAAGCTTTTATAGTCAAGTAAATCAATGAGTAGCAAGGATATTGCAGTCTGTCTAGCTATATGATTAATAACATACTGGATTTAATTCCCAGGCATGATGCCCAATCTGCTCATAAATTCTGGTAACAGAATATGTTGTTAAAGTTATCTTCCCAAGAGAGTAATTTGGAAATTATCTGGTGGTCACACAAAGGGCTGAGGCATAGTAGGCTAAACAGCATTAACTTACAATTTGTTACACTGTACAGACAAACTACAGGTTGTATAGCTTCTCTGTTCCCACAACCTTCCTGAGAACCCTCAAACACTGTCTCAAGCAAGAGCCTCTCAGAGCAGACCAACATCCCAAACTATTGTCTGTTGGTTCAGACACATTATCAAACCTGCCTTGCAGTACCAGGTTTCTAATTTAGTGGCAAATCATTGTTTGTCAGATGGCAAAGGTTCAGATATAACAAAAAAGAGATGGTTCACAATAACTTTAACTTAGAACTGAAACTATGATTTGAACTTCCAAACAACATCAAGCAAACCATCATGCAAATCTGGTTTACCAAATCCATTTTCATGTTCTATCTTCTCAGCATGTTGGTTTGTAAACTAATTCTCATCTTCATGGTACAGCAATCTTTACAGGCAGAGTTATGGAAGCTAGTCTGGTCTACCAGTTCAGACCTAGCCACAAACCACAGCTACCGTAAATCAGTTTGGAAAACAAAAAATCAAAGCCAATTTTATTCTGCCAGCTTATCACAAACCATAGTGTATCAATTTAGATACCAAAACAAAATATAATTCAATTTCCTTTATCAAGGTTTAATCTAATGATCTGAGGCAAAGAAAAGTTTATGCTTTACAGTTTTAACTACCACGTGAGGGCAGCACAAATTCAAAAAAGTGTTACCTTAAGCATGTTATCTGGATATGGTAATCTTGGGTACTATCAGTATATGGAGAACTTGAAGAGATGTTTATTCTACAAACTATTAACAAATGTCCACAAGATGAGTTTAAACTTCTGAAAAAAGGACTACACAATGTGCTAAAGATCATTTAGAAAATGGCTGATTAACCTGATGGGTATGTCTGGCAGTTTGCAGGGTCTGAAGATCCCATTTACTTCAGTCAATAAAATAGAGCTGGTCTCTTCAGCCAGCTATCACAGACGGTTGCCTTGTTATACAGCTACCAAAAATAAAACAACCTGCCTTCCATCATGATGATAACCAACTCTTTTACTTCATGCTTGCATGTGTGCGCGCGAGCACATGCAATAGAACTAGCACCCCCTAATGGTAACAAGTTTTTAAGTGGTTGCAACTTGATCTAACATTAATTCTCTCCATTTCTATACCACCCAATAGCGGAAGTTAACTGGATGATTTACGAAGATTAAAAATATTTACATCCTACATATTAACCATTTATTTGTAGACAGCACAGACACACAAATTTGAACGATTTTTAACCAACAATAAGTAAGAAATTAGAAGCTATTGTTAGGTGAGGTGTGACAGACAGATGTGCTCTCATGGTCAAAATTAAGGGATAAACTGGAACCACAAGGTGTGGGAGAGCACTTTTGCACAAAGAAGTGGCCAAATAATAACATCACCTTGCAGATGCAAACACAGGCAGACCCCAGGTCACAAACGAGTTCCATTCCTGAAAATCAGTTGAATCTGTATGTCAGTCAGATCCCATACATACGAGTCATATTAACCATGAGTAAGTTAAAAGTTTGTCTTAGTATACATACATATTTTACCTTTCTATGCACTTGCATTGGATTTATGCTTTGGAGGCATGGTTACCAGGGTAAATACTAAAGAAAATTTGTAAAACCAAATATGAAGTTACAGAAGGCAAGGCTAACTGCCCGTGATCCAAAACACACTGGCTTGGGTATGCTCGAGCCAATGAACAACCAACTCCATGGAACATTTTCATGAGCATAACAAACCCATGTTCATTACTATGAACTGTCTCTAACCTGAATTCTTAAAGTAATAGGCTTTATGTCAGTTTGTATGGATGTTTGTAACTTGGATGTTTGCAACCTGGGGACTGCCTGTATAGGAACATATGGTTCTTACAATCTGTATTCACACAGCTGAGGCAAACATACACCTGAATGCTTACCTGTTTGCTTTTGTGTGGAACAGCGTACAAAGCATCCTTGGTAATGCACTCTTTTTTGTCAATATCCTGACAGATAGAATTTGGCTCTTTTTCTGTGTTTGAACGAGATGTATCCATATCTTCATCATCACAGCAACTGCCAGATATTTCCAAAGACTGAACAGCACTCCTTTCATCACCATCACTCTTCCAGTTTTGACTGCAAGTAGAAAACATTAATACTATTGAGTCTCACTTACCAAAAATCATATGTTTTAGCAACACAGAAAGTTTTAAAAAGAAATGGCTTTTATCAATTAAGTTTTTTTCTAAAACAAAGGGCTCTTATCCAATCAAGTATTTTCTGGTCTAAAGACTGTTTCGCTAAGGTGGAGTTTAGTTTTGTATGCAGTAAATATAAGATTCAAAACTTATATTAACAGTATTACTTCAATAACAAAAGAAATATTTACAACACCATTGGCACTGAGCAGAACTTCATAAGGAAGAAATTCAATTACAATCAAACATTTAAGTCCATTATTTGTAAATGTGAATGATGGACAGAGATTTAATATGTTCAGCTTAAAATGAAACTATATCTGTCACCCTAATCCAAAGGCTGGTTTTGAGGCTAGCAATGCTTGCATAACATTATGACAACTGCCATGTAAAAGCATATTTTAAAATTCTGTGCAAGCAAAATAAGTCTCATCATAAAGCTTTATCTGATGGTTTGATTCTAGAATTAAATGCAGTATCTATATAAATGCAATTGTAAAATTTTTCTAACTGACACCCATTTGGTCCATGCCTGTCAGAAAGCTGTATACAGACCTTTCAGTACCATTGAGAATATCATCACAGATAATGGTCAAACACTGGATCAGGTACCACTGAATATATATATTTGCACCCATAGCCACAAGGTTGAAAAATGACACAAATTGTGTAAGGAGCTCAACTCTTAATAAGGATTTAGAATCAGATATTTTTCTGAAGAGAAAAGCTTCATTCCAATTTAATAGGAAACCATGTTTTCCTGTTACTTTAACAAGTCTGCACAAGGCTTGAACTACTGTACTTTCAATCTCAATCCCTGAAGACTGAGAGCTGCCATTTGAAAAAAAAAGTTTTACACTGACCATATTTCCCCATAATATCCAGACTTGGAGAGTCATGATTTGTTTACAGTACAGTTTCAGATCATGGGTAGTTCTCGAATCCTAGATCAAACAAAACAGTTTCCCACATTTGGATATGACAAGGAACTTAAATTTAAAACGGAAAGTAAATATCCACCCAGCATGCAAAAAAGGAAAGCATGTGAACCTAATGCTCATGAAATCTCACTCACATTTCTCATTACATCTGGACTGGGCCACAAAGCTGAATCAAACTCTTGAAATAGGAAGAAGTATTCTACAACTTTCCTAACAGCTCCAAAGTATAAACTATTGCTAGGACATGCGAAAATGTGCAGTACATCATACCCCATTCGCAGCTCAGTGATGGTTGCATATGGCTCAACATAACTTTCTTTATCCTGCAAGTAGCTGGTATCACTTTCTGAAAAAGATCGTTGTCGTGGCTGAGGGATGGCAACAGTGCGTCCAGTTAGGGTTGTCACAAGAATAGCTGCAGCCAGAGCAGATCTGCAAAATGAAAAATTGGAATATTTTCCATGGATCATTTTTGTGGAGGGTGGTGGGGAGTGTGGAGGACATATATACCTTTAATTATTGGGAAGCTAAAATGCAAAGCTGGGTTTTGAAATTAGGTGAAGGCTAAATTAATGGTTAACAGTAATATAACTTGTCATTATAGAGTTGGTTCATTTGCAGAGCTTTCCTCTTATTGCATAATGCAATGCCACTGAACAAATAGAGCTCCAAATCATGGTCACAATCCAGCAACTCCAATTAATGTTTCATGTGTTTGTGGATTCCCAATACCTTTTGTGACATAGAAACATTCAGTATACACAATGAAGAAGGACCATGTCATGATAAATGTTTTGCAGCCACAGAAAAGTACAGGAAACCTTTGGGACTCTGGGTCATGGCCACTAGGCATTAATAATTTTACCTATTTACTAAAGGAACATAAAGAAATCTTTCTTGTAGATTGTTTTATTCAGAGGCTAGTTGAAACAACAATCTTAGTCCAATAAACCATGGTATAGTATACCACAAGTGAGTACTGTATCCATGCTTTCCCTCTCACGTGATAATGAAAACTTACAAGGTTTGTTATACCAGAGATTCCTGTAACATCGGGACAGGGAAACTGTAGCTTAATCTCCGTTTACAAACCAAGATATTACATTAGAATCATAAACTGGTTTTATATCCTAAGTCTCTGCCAAGGTTTCTGGTCTGGATGTACTGGAAACTGAGTTTTATTTATTTATTATATTTATTTCCCATTTTTTGCTTTCAATGAACTCAAAGCGGCTTGTATCATTCTCCTCTTCCTGTTCACAGCCTCATCCCCATAAGAACAACCCTGTGAGGTAGGCTGGGCTGAGAGTCTGTCACTGGCCCAAAATCACCCAGGTGGCTCCATGGTCAAGCAAGGACTAGAACCCAAATTTCCTGAGTCCCAGTCCCATGTTCTTAACCAATATACCGTGGTTTATTAGACCAAGACAATTATGTCTGAACAGAGAGGACAGAGAGGGAAGTTTTCTTGGCTTCTATGTTGTTGGACATACATACAATGTTTCACAATGTTCAACACACCAGCAAGAGGTTTAACCACTCAACCCCACCATTCTTCTTTGGCTTGAGGCAGCTTGGGCCACAGTTTGCCCACCTCTGGCATAAATTGCCCCTAAAGGAAGCTATGTTTTAAACAGGGTTTTGGAAAAAGTGAGAGAAAAATAGAACCTGAAAGTAAGACAGTGATGAAAAATGGAGAAATAGTAATGACTTTAAAAGAGAATGTTATTACATGGCATATCAATGTGGTAAATAAAAGTGAGCCAAAAGGAAAGCTTAACAGGTAATGCATAATGTGCCCCATTTAAGTTAGCATACATTGCCTGGGCTAGATTTTATTTATGCAAGTTATCCAGTTACCCATATTTGTCATATAAATTACAACATGTTTCATGTTGCAAGTGATCACTTGCAATGCTGATACTAAATGGGATGTTATGTGGCATTGCTATTTGGTTATAGGCTTGATCATATGCAAGTTTAGATAGAAAAAAAAGCCTACAAGAGTCAATATCGAGCAGTGGTTAAGAGTGCAGGATCGGAACTCAGGAGATCTGTCTGGCCCCCATTCAGCCATGGAGATCACAGGGTAGCTTTGGGCCAGTCAGAGACTCTGCCTAACTCATGAGGTTGTAGTGAGGATAGTATTGAGAAGAGGAGGAGAATTATGTAAGCTGCCCTGAGTTCCATGGAAGGAAAAAAGGCAGGACATGAATATAAATAAATAATACAACTCCCAGATATGCACCTGGGGCATGCTGGGAGGTATTCACATTTTTTCCTGTCTAATTTGCATAGGATTGCACTCTCAATATACTTTAATTGACTTTTAGTCACTCAGTTACACTTACATGGAGATGAAACATTTCTGAAGCAAAAATTACAGTTTCTTGATTTTTGGATGAGGTACACATGTATTCCTAATATATTTTATTAATTCAGCTATCTGATCAATCAGGAGCACTTCTGATCTTAATCTAACCAATTATTAAATTCAAAATCACAGCCCTGATTTTATACTGTACTGTTCATATTATACATAATATAAATAAAATACTCAGTTTTAGAAAGCCTCTTCAATGTTGGCTGAGCAAAGTTCTAACATTTTGGATGCAACAGCATATACATTCAGACTAAACTCCTCACATGTCTAAAGGAGCACATACCCAGGTCATAAGCCTGCACAGGCTAGGTCGACTCATATATCTAGTGGCTGTGTCTTCCCTTGATGTTCAGTGAAATGCACCCACTTCCATGCAAAGGGGGGACCTCCTTCTAGTTTCCCTCCTTCCATGGAAGCACTCTACACATGAGCTTCTTCTCATGTATTTCCAACAAACAGTGTGAATTGTGAGGCGAGCAGCCTGTGCTGCAGCTGAATAAGGGTCACTGTCTGAACTCTTCCACACCAAGGTGTAGCCTTTATTATAATATTCAAGAACGATCCATAGCACCTGCACAGAGAGCTCTGGCTATTGGGCTGTATAGGAATAAACAGATATATAGACAGATAGATTGAACTTTGATCCATGTACTGAACTTTGATCAGTGAACCAGATCTTGTAAGGAAGGGAAGTAAATGCTTTTCATACTAGAAAAATAGCCTGTCTACATTTGTGCCTCAAACTAGACTGTTCTATTTTTTTTTCATTAATCACTCAACAGATTCTTCCAGCCAACACCAACTGGCAATCTGAAATTAATACATAATTAACATGTGCAAAATGAAGATGACCTTCCTTTCCAGGGTGCAACCCTGGAAGCGCTGGTATGTATCTGGTTTATGTAAAGGTTACAGGCAAGATAAAAGCATGCATTTGACCCAAATATTTAGATCTATTGATTATTTAAATTCCATGTAATAACTGGTAATCAAGAGATGAAAACATTAAAACCTACCTGGGCCTTTCTGGAGAAGGGTTTGGACTACGAGGGGGAGGGGTGCGGGGTACAGCAGGTTTAGGAGCTATGGTAGCTGCAGGGATCAGGCCATGAGCTATATGTTTCTAAACAATTTAAAATAAAGTTAGTTTGCAATGATTGAACTAACACAATGAAGAAATACAAAACTGGACATGCACAAGGACTTACAAAATAAAAGGAAGAACATTTACATGCATTTTAATGTATGCAGCAGGCCCAAATGGTTTTAACTCATGCATAGTCTTACTATTGATAATATTACACCAAAATACCTATTATTCTACTCTATCCTAAGTATTTCTGTAAAAATGCACTAAGTCCTTGGATCAAGCCCCTAGTAATTTTTGAAATGTTAATTGTTTGCTCTTTTGTCTTTCTGGAATTTATCACTTTCCAATTAAATATCAAACACAACTTATTAATGCCAATAGTAGGACTACTGATATCATCTTTTAATAACTATTTTGTAACTGACAAATAGATCTTCATTGAAAGAAGCTGTATTTGAGAACATGACATGTCCATGAAGAGGAATGGATATCCAGAACTGGAAAAATAAATTTTAGGGTGACCACCAATTTTTTAGTGGTGAGATCCAGACATTGCTTAGGCTAACAAAACAAATTTCCACTAGTCCAATGGAATAGTTTGCATTATCCCCTTTTAAATAGCCAACTCCACTGCTGTACTACAACTTGCATTTGAAATTCTCCTCAGTTTGAAAAGCAGATTTCCATGCCCTATGGAAGGATGATATTGAAGGAACACAGATATAAAATCTCATAAGGCTGACAGAACTAGTTTTACAGTTCTGTAGATCTAACCCCATTGGAATGCTGGGAACAATAGATGGCAAAAGGAGGTGACAGCAGAGAATGAGGTGGCTAGATGGAGTCTCTGAAGCAGTTGGCGTGAGCTTAAGTGGACTCTGGGGGATGGTGGAGGACAGGAAGGCCTGGAGGAATGTTGTCCATGGGGTCCCGATGGGTCAGACATGACTTCGCAACTAACAACAACAAACCCCATTGGTGAATGTTACATGCTGTTTCATACAACTATGAAGATCACCAGGTCTTCATATTTTAGAGTGTTAAATAAATAATACAATTTAAAACACATTTATCTGAAACTAAGGCTGCAATTCTATATATGTTTCTTTCCTGAGCACAGTGAGGCACACTACCAGGAAAATATACATAGGATTGTATTGTAAGTTTCATTAATTCAAGTGGGACTTTCTTTCAGGAACATGAATAGAATCTGAAAAACTTATTTAAGGGAATAATCCTGTGCCTATTTAGACAGAAAAAAGTTCTAAAATGCACAGCAAGTCCCAGCCAGCCCCACTGGCTAGAGGAGGAGAGTACTAGTTTTTTCTCTAAACATACATACACTGGAATGCACCCTAGGTGCATCAAGGGTTTGAGCACATCACCATATTACAAAATAGTTTTGACCGTCTTTGAAACTCTAGCAGCTAGTGTACACAGTTACAGAGATCCTGATACTAGAGGCAGCATTTGGCCACCAGGAGTAGCAGCTATTGATAACCTCCTCCCCCCATGAATTTGTTTTAAAACCCTCCAAATATGTGGCTATCATGGTATCTTGTGGAAGTGAATTCTATCGTTTAATTATGACTTGTGTGAAGAAGTCCTTCCTTTTATCTGTCCTGGATCTCCCACCAAGCAGCTTCATGAGATCATCCCACTTGGTAATAGTATTGCGAAAAAGAGAAAAAATATTCACCTTCTTCACACAATGCCCAATTTTGTCCCGCTCCATCATGTCTCTCCTAACTCATCTTTTGAGTAACAGTATGTATATACACAAACGCATTGGAATAGGAATTAGCATATGTGTCTTTTGCCCTCTTTTTAGTGATGCATAGGCTTTTTTGAAGATGCGATAGCCCCCCTCCTCCACTGTTTGTTTCCCCCTCACACACACTCTTTAAAAAGGGATCATTACTTCTTTGCGTCCTCATAACAAGCTTTCCCCTCCATCTGCCCAACATAGAGTCGCTTGAAAGGGCTTGGTCACCATGGCAACCAGCGCCACGTTGCTCACACAAAAGGCTGCCTGCTACCTTTTGCTTTCCCGACGGGGAACCCTAGGCCTCCTCGGACAAATACTCACAAACTGGCCTCTTCGGCCTCTCCTGAAATACAACGCCATGAGAGCTGAAGAGCTTAGCAAGAAAGCGGGGGAAAGACGGGTGCGGAACAACCCGCCGGGGGACCGCAGGGAAGCAAATCCCCACTATTCCACAACAGAAAACAGGGACGCTTCCTTCTTCGCAACCACGCCTGAACAAACCGCGAGTCGATTGGCTACAGCCTCCCGCTTACACCAATCGCTACTCACATTACTGATTCCACTTGCACCTTAGCAGCCGTTGCCATAAGCCCCTCCTTCCAACGGCTTTCCTCGCGGGAGGGGGAAAAGGAGCGTTGGATGATGATTGGCTGAGGGGGTGTCTGACGTACGCGCGCGCGCGGGACGAAGCTTCGTCGTCTTCGCGCGAAGAGGCGCGTGCTGGCCCGGAAGGCGCTGTGGCCGCTCGGCCCGGCGAAGGTGGAGGCGAGCGAAAGGTAGGTCTCGAAGGCTGACCAGGCTCGGCAAGGCCGCAGTGCGCGGCCCGGGCTTTTCTCCTTGCCTGGCGAAACCACGCTTGGATGTTGGCTACACGGGGCAAGGGAGCAGTTCACACGTGATTGGTTCCCCCTGTTTTTATATTGCTGTGCGGTACTTTGAGTGCTATGATGGAGCTCGGGGAGGATGGCGACTCCCGCGGCCGTGAGCCCCGCCATGCATGGCAGCTTTTATTTATTATTTATTTTTATTTATTAAAACATTTTTATGCCGCCCCATTCGCCGAAGCCTCGGGGCTGCCTACAGCAATAAGTTAGAACATCATAAATAACCTTTTAAAATATATACATTAAAATAAATACAGAGGATGGTCGTCAACACCAGCATGGTGCTGAACTTCGCATCCGAAATGCATGAATAGGGAGCCCCACCGGCAGAGGAGTCATCAGCCTGCCCTGAATGGAGCATTCCTTCTGGCATGAACATACCTGTGCATTCATAATCTAAGGGTTAGGGTTAGGTGCCGCCTCCAAGCAGGCTTGGAAGTTAGCAACCAGGGAAAGTGCCTTCTCAGGACTTTAGAATGATTTCCCCAAGAAGGCCTGTCTGGCACCAACATCGTTATCTTTGATGCCAGGTTAAGGCATCGGGCAACACATTTTTAAGGCATTTCTATCCCATCCAATACAAAAGTTTCAGGATGGTGATACAATGGCAGCACACAAAAGTAGAATATAAATATCTAATAATACCAACATTAAAACATTAATCCTTAACATACAGGGAAAACTACAAGGTTTTGGCCTAGCACCAAAATGAATAAAGCATTGGCACCAGGCACAGCTCTCTTAAAGCAGGTTCCGAAGCTGGGGTGCTACCACAGAAAAGGCCCTTCAATGGTTAGATCCTATTCTAATCTTCAAAGAGGGCTCCTGAAGAACGACCTCAAAGATCTTAGGGGGTAGTCAGGTATATACGGAAGGAGATGCTCCTTCAGCTATCCATGCCCTAAACCATTTAGTGTTTTATATGTCATTGTTAGCACCTTAAATTGGACCCCAACTTTAATTGCTAAACAGTGCAGATGGTACAGGACTGGTGTTATATCATCAAAAGCCTGGCTGCTCTGTTTTGGATCAATGGTCTGGAAGTATCTGGAGCATCTTCAAGGGCAGCCCCATGTAGAGTGCATTACAGTAGTCCAGTCAGAAAGTTACCAGAGCATGGGTCACTGTTGCTAGGCTCTGCTCATCCAAGTAAGGATGTAGTTCATGGATCAGCCAAAGCTGGTAGAAAGTGCCCCTTGCCACAGCAGTCACCTGGAACTTCAAGGATAACTTTGGATTGAGGAACACTCCCAAACAACCCACACTGTTCCTTAGGGGAAGTGCAACCCCATCCAGAACAGGGCAAAAATCATTTACTTGGAAAGCAGATCCACCCACCAACAGAACCTTTGTTTTATCTGGAATAAGTTTCAATTTATTGACCCTCATCCAGCCCATCTCACTGGCCAGCACAGGAGGATTTACTCTGGTAATTGTTTAAAAATGTTTTTAGCTATATGGGGTGTGTTTGAACATTGGTACGTCTAAGGTTTTTAACAAACTCGAAGGAAGCCAGATTCATGATTTGAAGGCAGTACCACACTCAAACTTAGTTAGCAAATACATGCTCAAGGCTATGTTAATAAAACGGATCAACCACTGAGGTTTTCTTGAGCTATTTTCTCCCATTAAATGTGGCTAGAAAATCCATGCTACAGGATTTTAGTATTCAGACCAAATCGGCAAGTTAAGATAGAGTCGTCTCAAGAATAACATAATTGTTGCTTTTCACTTGCAAATTATAAATGATGTCAACAAAGTGGAGGAAGACCAATGATGATGAATGAAACCACTCCAGTCCGAGCAGGAGCTGTTAATGTTCCTTATGGGCATGTGATTGGCAATGAGAAGTGGAAAGGCTCACAGATCGCTCATGGGATACAAGGTAAGTGCATTAATGAAAAACAGGACATATGTGGAATTGCAGAATTTGCTTCCCAGAAATATCTGTAAATATTGCAAATGAAATAAGTTGCCAGTGCCATGCCTCACAGGGCTAACTGTTGGTACTGTTAATAATTAGGATGCCCTTTCCCATTATTTTTGTTTGTCCAGTCCCGTTAATATTCCATTTAGAATCTTTGGGACACCTTAACAATATTAAATGGTATGGCTTAAGCTAGAAGTAGAAAGAGTACAACTGAGCTCTGTTTTTCATATGTGTTCAAATTAAATTTTTATTCATACCTTCAGATTGAGTTTATTTAGGATGTAGTCAATGACCATGCTTTGATGATTATATTTTATTAACTATTGTTTCCTGTGAACAAGCCAGGATGTTAAACCAACTGAAAATCCTAGGCTTCTTCTGAAGCCATTAATCATATTTTTCTTGGTTTGACAAAATGGGATGCTTCTTAATAGACTTCCTGGTTGGTTCCCTCTCATGAGAATGGGGCTGCTTGCATGGCATGCTCAGATCTTGGCTAATATGTTGAGATCTGATCAGTTGCATGTGGCCATTTATTGCAAAGCTGTAGATATTTTTAAGGAGATAAGTTTTGATGATTAAATTAGGTAATTATAGTACAGTAGTTGAATTTTGTAAAGAAAGCAATATAAGTTATACTTTTTATTAGCGTGGAAGATGCTGTAGGCATAGTATACTTGGAAATAAATTGTATTGGGCTTCAGAATCTCCTCTGAATAGAATGTTCAAGATTGGGTTCTTAGAGTTTCACGTAAACTTTTAGTAGGAGCCTATTATCATTTTGCTGTTAATATTAGCTTCCTATTCCTCAAATTCCAAGGGAAAGTTACACTCATTCTAGAAGATGGCCTGGGAGTTGTGGACTTCCATCTTTCTAATAGAGTCTGTGTCCTCTATATTTCTGAAGCAGACCTGGTTGCAGGAAATGGCTTTAGAAGACGACTTGTTCGTTTCAGAAATGTAAGTACTGTCTGAAGCAGGTGTTTTCAGTCTAGCTAGTCAATAATAGAAGATTTTGCATCAGAAGGAAAGGGGAACTTGGTTTACCATTGTTTAAGGACCTGGATCTTTTCTCTTGCATTCACTGTGTACCACCCACCATTATTTACAATTCATAGTGTGAGCAGAAATGCATATTCTCATCCTCCATCTGCAGCCACTAGCTGCCTGCTGAGGTCAGGTCAGGTCAGGTCATTTTCTTACCTGTTTCAGTGTCGCTTCAGAGATACTATTAAATAACTTTGTTCTCACTGACTCTTGTCTTCGTTCCAGGCCTGCAATCTTCAAGGAATTGTAATAGTTGAAAAAACCCAGCTAAGTGACCAGTATTTCCCAGAAGTACAGAAATTTGTGGTCCTGGAACTTGGAATGTCATTACTTCCAGTGGCCAACCAGGGAGAAGCAGCACAACTGATTATCCAACTAGTAAGTACCTTCAAGAGTTTTTATGCCATTGAATGATGATCTAGGTGTGTGCAGTCCTTTAAAAGGCCAGTGGCAGCCACACAGGAAGCATCAGTGAACTGGAATGAAAGGATTAGGTAAACACGTTCTTTGGTAAACATGTTGACAGCTTTGATATCGTGCTTTCATAGATGTTGAGGTCCAGTTTCAGAGGAAATTCCATGTGGGTACAGTGCTTGCAACTCCTCCTACTATTAATAGTAAAGTTCCCTGGGGAGGTGGTGCCCCCCTTTTTTGCTTGCAGTGAACGGTTGACACCACCACTGATGAAAAGCATGGAAGCTGACCTGGGGGAAGGGAAAGAACTAGAAATGTAACGTGTGGCCGCAAGCTGTATGAGAGGAAGATTAGACAAACTATTGGAAGATAAGTTTACTAGCAGGTATGAGTTATGCTAGCTACAGAGGGCTTCATTCCAGGGGTAGCATATATCCATGAGTAGCAGATGAAGAAGCAAACATCAGGATGCCTTATGCCCAGTTGTAAGCACCCGAAAGCACATGCACGGGTGGCGCAGCTCCCTGGTAGGGCTCATGCTAAGAGCGGAGAAGGTCCCAGGTTCAATCAGGTGTCATCAGTGTGGTGTGATGGGAAGAGTGTTAGACTGTAGACCCAGAAGATCCGGGTCCAGATCCCCACTTAGCCATGAAGCTCAGTGGGTGACTTCAGGCCAGTCATTCCTCTCCCAAGGGTGTAGTGGAGGCCTCTCAGAGACCAAAGTGCCCCACTTACTTTGGAGGGAGCATGCAGGGGGGTCGCTGGATCCCTGAAGGTGCTTCCTCCACCGCCTCTCAAGAGACTTAATTCTGCTGGTTTGTGGCTGGCAGCAACACAGGGCGCATCAAGACTTTGACAGACAGCTTCATTTCTTAACATGGCTGGAGCCAGAATGCTGGGCTGGAGGGACGAGTGTTTCTCCCAGCAGAGTAGCCTTTTATTGAGAAATATTATTGGAACTGAATGGCACGCTTAGGACCTAAAACCACTAGAGGGCATGCAAACTGCACTTGTTTTCTGTTTCAGGTGCAGGAGCAAACTAAGGATCGAGCCAGCAATCCCTTCCTTGATAAGAAACGTCCCAAGTTTTTAGAGGCTTCTGTGTTACAAACTGTTCAGCAGATTCCAGGAGTTGGGAAAACCAAAGCTTTGCTTCTCCTACAGCGATTTGGGACCCTCCACCAGCTTTGTAATGCATCTGTCCAGGAGCTTGAACAAGTAGTTGGACATGCTCTGGCACAACAGATCCATAAGTTCTTCACGCACACAAAGTGATCGAGCTTGTTGGCTGAGCATCTCGGGGGGGTAGTTCACATCGGCTTATAGATGAGAGGACTTCTTATTGTTGGGTATATATTTATTTTTGGGGGCAGGGGGTGAAACATTTGTGGAGAGCCTTTCATAGCAGCTGAACAAAATAAACTAAGGTGTTAAGCTTAGGTTAAACTAAGCTTAGTTTAAAATAAACGAAGCTGCAGTTCTCCAAGTTGCAGCTGCTAAGGGTAAAGACTCTGTGGCAACCACTTCATAGAGAGTGTGGAAGAATAGATGGGGCCCCTTTCCCAGAAGTAATAGGCTGTATATGGCCTTTAAAAGGACCCAAGCAATTCTTCTGCAGGATGAATTGTCTTTAAGGTCAGCATTCCTGGTTTGGGCACGAGGCCAAAAGGATGCTTACACGTTCCTCTTGAATGGCGCTAACAACTGAAGAGTTGCAAATGAAGGTGCAGCCGTGTAATTGTGACCTTTGATCTGCCACACATTCCCATTAGGCCTTTTGCAGCAGTAATGGAGGCAAGTCGGCAGTCTCTGTAGCAGATGTACAGCTTTACGAAGCAGGAGCACTTTGTGCATCAGCTGCAGCACTGTTTGTCAGAATCAAAATAAATGCCAGCTGCTCCAAACTTCCGTTGATTTTCTTTTTCTAGGCCATTGCATTTTCAGGTGAGTGTTTGCATAAAGTTCTGAATGTAAATCCTTTTAGAAGCTTTAAGTATCATATACTGAGTGGTACCCATGTAGCATAACATCCCTTCCTTGCACTTGGATCAAAAGAAAGCAATCGGTAAAGGAAAGGCAGATGTAGTCCACCTTTCTGGCAAGCTGGAAGGTGTGTTAGAGAAGCAGCTTTCCAGAATAGCTCTTTGATGCTTCTGAAACATGTACTATAGAGAATCTTGTCGATTTAACCTCTGTTTTGTGCAAGTCACTGCTCTTAAGCTGAAAGTGGATTATTTATAACCCTAACCACCAACTCAGACTCAAGAAACTCTGGCCTCCTGGGTGAATACCATTGAAACACTAATTGCTAGATCCAGCTAAGTGCTGTGAGCATTTCAGATCTGAGAGCCTTAAGCTTTCTCATGCAACAAGCTAGGTCTGGTGCATGCCACAGGCGCTGCACACAATTAAGAGGCACACAGTAATCTCTTTAATGCTCTTTTTTCAGGTGATCATATCAAATGTCTCCAGGTCTGCAGGGACATTTCCTAATCTGTGTGGCTCTTTATTGTGTGGCAGGACATTTAACCTGAAGTTTGTCACTGGTAGCACACAGATCAATTTAAAGCAGTCTCCTGGTGGCACTGATAATATGCGCTCGTGTTCTAAAACTTGGTCCTGAATATTGTTGAAAAACTTAGGTGGAGAGGCACTAAGCAGAGACTTTATTTGGCTTCCGTGGCAGATGGCTGACAACTTTTGTCTGAAGCTGTCCGTTGTCCCATGGTACTTAACAAGCAGTGCAGGCCAGGATCCAAGGAATTTTGCCGCTATTCTGGGTGCCCAAAGGGGTGTTATATCCCATGTCTCAAACCCTAACCCTCTACACCACATCATATGCTGCCCTTGAAATGGTGAGGATCTGGAAAAACCAGGTTGTGATCTCTTCACAGATCCTCCAAAGAGTAGAAGCATGAAACTCAAAACCACATACTTCAAGCGTATAAGGAAATGCCCCAAGCACTTGTTCAAAGGGCTAGATTCAAGTGAATAGTCTCTTGAGTTTTTCCTGATTGCAAATGTTACAGCTGGGGAGTATTTGATATGTAATAGAAAGTGGTAGCTAATTTCATTCACGGTCCCTACCTGAAGAAGCTTCAGTGCTGTTAATTTTGGAACGCTCTGGAAAAAAACAGTTATGTAGCCTACCTTGAATACCGTTGCTGTTGTTCAGTCGCAAAATCATGCCCGACTCTTCGCAACCCCATGAACAACATTCCTCCAGTTTTTCCTGTCCTCCACCATCCCCCAGAGTACACCCAAGCCCACACCCACCTCTCCAGTGACCCCATCCAGCCACCTCAACCTATGCCATCCCTTTCTCCTTTTGCCTTCAATAAAATAATGGAATAGCATACAGGTGTTTAAATGTTCCTTATCTGAATCTTGAATCCATTGGAGTAAATTGTTGCATTGCCATTCTCTTCACTAAGGACAAGTGAGTTATGAATAGCCATTATTAGCCTATGGGGTGACTCATAAAGAAACTTGAATCTGATTTCACTCAGATTTGCCTGAGGGCAAACTTCTCATAAATGGAGATAAAGACATCCACCCTCTTTCAGAGTTGGGAGCAATTCCACAAATCCTTATTCATCCACACCTGCTGGCTTGTTTTACGCACTTCGTCTTGTTTCAGGTGACGTACAGGGAGACTTGCTGAATTTGTAGAATCCGCTAATCATTTTACCACATGGTGGCTGGAGTACAGCCAGACTAAACTGCAGAAGTATCGCAGTTGCAAGAGTGGGTGACTCAGACTTCTTGCCGAGAGCATTCTGTACAAATTCCAGAAGACTGGTGCTTCTGTGGAGTGGAAAGGTTATAACCTTGTCCTTGCAGGCAAAGGCTCCTTCAGCATTCTTTTTTTTACAGGAAGTGTGGGTGTATGATAGACACATGCACAAATGGAAGTGATATACGTCTCTCTTGGCATTTTAACCGTCCTGCAGTCCTGGTTCTAGGACTTCCCTGTGCCAGTGACTCCACTTGCTATGAATTTAATCTACCTTAGTTTAGTTCTGGTTGCTTTGAATGGCTGTATTTACAAGTAGACACAATTCTATAAGTTAAGTGTCAGCTCTTTGGAAAGTAACACTGTAACTCCAAATACACATTTTGATGGCTCATCTTCTAACAGTTTATACAGTTACGTGTATTTTATATTGCTATTTATGTATTTTATTTATTTGTAAGCCGCCCCAAGGCTTCGGTGAATGGGGCGGCCTAGAAATTTTCTAAATAAAATAAAACAAGTTACTTAATTAAATTCTGCTTCACTTTGCTGATTTTGTGGGTCTTTGATTAAAATAATCTACGAAGACCATTAAGCCTGATTTTTTTTTAAAAAAATGCCATTTTACCTTGCGTTATCTAAAACAAAAGTCTAAATACATTCGCACATTACACTTCACCTTGTGTCCATCTCCTAAAATTAGGATTTAGACTAAAGCTCTTAGGTTATGAACCTGTATTCTTGTGCTTCTGCACTGCGTGTGTTCACAATGTTTCACATAGAAATAGCATCCGTAGCCCTTTTAATATCTCAGTACAATCCAGCCAAAGATGAAAGGTTGTCCATTAGTTTAAATGGACTGTGACACATATTTCTAGATTTATCTCTCCCCATCTATTGTAATCTTTTACTAGCACAGGCTGTTTCTAAATCCAGTTTGTGGTGTGTAACATTGGACTGGATCTGGGTTTTTAGGGTTATGGTTCAAATGTCATTATCCAAAGGAGTTACCTCAGTGTTCAAAGGCACTTTTTACAATCCAGGAAGCTGAGACGTGTATATGCAAGAGGGATACTCAGTTCAGTGACTGATATTCCCACCACGCCTTTTCATGAGTCACTAGAAGGGCAAAACTATTAAGACAGGCTTGTCTGCAAGATAACAAAAAATGCCTTTGGGTGCACATACTTCTCTTGAAAGTTCAACTATGGTCACTTTAAAAGAGGCAGAAGACATCTCTGAGAACTGCTAGTTTCTAAATAGGCAAACCTGCACGTCTACTGTTCCAGAGGTTAAGGTCATAGGTCAACAGCCAAATATTTTTCCAGTCTTGGCTGTTATGACGTACATATCACACTGTCAAAGAGACAAGCTGTGCTTCACCCTTAAAGTGCTTCCTCAATGACAAATCTGTTCGTCTTCCAGGTGTCGAAGGACTTTGTGTTCTTTAGATGTTGGCAGAATAATCTTTGGGGCATGAGTGTACGTTTTGCAAACATAACACTGCTAATTCTCCAAGGTAGCAGAAATACACACAAGTATTTCTGAACATGTGCCTTTTATAAATAAGGTTTAAAAAGCAACAAAACATATTCCTTGGACTTGAGTGAAGCTGGGTGAGTTTTTCTGTGGTTTTTCCCTCTGCTGCATCTCTCCTGCTTGTATATTTAAATAGCTTCATGTTATGCTTTCCAAGGCTATGTTTATGGTTTTAAATGGCCGACTATTCTACTAGATTAAGTAAACCAAGAACATGTAATTAAGAGAATAGGCTGTTAACTGCTAATGAAGTTAACATCTTATCTGCTAATCTGTCCAAGTTGTTACCAGGTCCCTTTGCACACAATAGATCTGAAAATATTTCAAACCCAAAGCATTTTGAGCTAATGTCCAGGTAAGGCTATCCCCGTTCTGAGAGATGTTGCTATAGAATAGTATATAAAAACTTTGAACGAATACATACCTGATAGCTCTAACGTACCCAGCTGGTCCTGGAAGGCCTTTGGAGGACAAGCATGTTTGAGGACAACTTATAAACTGGCCAGGGCATGCTGCACTTCGGGACTGAGACCGCTCCCCCCATTCCAGCTTTCCTCCTGGCCCAAGCACAGCCCATCAGGGCTGAAGGCCTGCACCTTGGCTGGCCATTCCAGTTGCCAAGGACACCAAGGCTTTGGGGACACGCAACTATGGTGGCATCTGGAATGGTGGCACAGGTGCATTTATCGGAGGTTTTTATAGATTGTTCACTTCAGCATATACTCTCAGAAAGGCAAGCTGTTCTGTAGGGGTTTGTTTGGACCACTTAAAGACGTAGCTGCGAGGTAGTGAACGCTGTAAATAAGCATGCCTCACAGCAAGAGTTCGTCTTCAGGAGGGAATGCAGAGGCAAGCATTCATTCCCTGGCTGGGCGTTCTCCCAATGTGGTGCACTACAACTACTAGCATTCCTGACCGTGCTGGCTGGGGCTGATGGGACATGAAGTCCAAAACAACCTAGTTGGGAAAGGATGATAACTTGAAATTTTGAGTGTGTTATAAATGCCATTGCAGGATCCAGTGGTCAAAAAGCAGAAGATACATCTTAAAGGCGCACTACTGACAATTCAGTCTTCCTGCTGCCATAGAAATAAAAATCAGAGGATTCAGTGTATTACATTCTACATTCATTTTTATTATGTCAGAATTAATTCCATCGTGTTGATTCAGTTATTGCACAACAAAAATAATATTCTTCTTTTCAGTTTCACAAAAGGGTAGCTAAAGCAAGTTCACTTAGAGCTGTGCCTCTCCAAGTATCAATGCACAAGGGTTAGTGTCTTCTGTTTGTTACTAAGACAGGAAACCAACAAGTTGCTCCTCACCAGAAGCCAGCTATAGGGCTTCTGGCTTTTTAAATAAATCTTTAAAAATTATATATTTACATCTATCATTTTTAAACACAAAAGCCTAAAAAACACAAGTTAATGCAAGGTTGATCCTCCAGGCTTTTCAAAAAATTACAACTTTCCACTTGAAATATTTTCCAAAGTCTCCTATCCAAAAAGACCATCCTAAATCGACTGCAGTTTCTCTCCCCACTAAATCAAATGGGAGTTAGGATTTCATCTGCTTAAAATGTTTTGACTATCAAACATTGTAAGATCTACCCTGTAGACAATATTCCAATCTAACACTACTGTGTTAGCAACCCGCAACTTTAAAAAGAAGAGCAGCAATAAAACTTACAATGGGGCTGGGGAGAGATCACATTACCAGCTGGGTGAGTTCCTAAATGAGCAATGAATTCCCACATTTCTCCTAAGGCAGAGTAGCTAGTTACACTTGGGAACAAGGCTTTGGAACTGGCACTGCTTCCGGAAAGATCAATGGATGGGAGTCTCTTCAAAGCTGAAACTGCACTATATGTATGGTTTAAAGGGGAACTTGGCAGGCGCTGCCAGGACTTGATCTGGGCTAACAGCAGCCGTTCTACTTCCACCCCCTCCTTTTAGCCTTACCAGCAGGAATTTCAGTGCAGCAGTGCATTTTTGTTTTTTGAATTTCCACAAGTTGCCATCTTTGCAACAGCTATTTCAAAGCCAAAGCTGGATTTTGAAATGTTAGGACTGTTCTCTCTCTCTTAGCAGAGGGTTCCTCCTATGGGATTGTGAGAGTTGTAGGCCACCAACACATCTGAACTGCAGCGAGAAAGGAATGCTGAGACAGGACCACAGTGCCCTCCACGCACGGTGGCCGCACCCCAGAAAGGGCTTTCTCTGCGAGGGGCCCCTCTGCAATGTCCCTATAATTTTGGAAGGACTGTAACCAAGGCGAGTGCCAGATTTGAGGATCATCCCAGTGAAGCGTCCTCTGGTGAGCCTCCATGCCAGGTTGGCATCTAATCACTGGTTGGCTGCCCACACGCCTCCAAGAAAGCATTGTCTTGGGACATGGTGGGAAATGCAAATGGCAGCTGACTAAAGCACATTTTAGATGGGCACCCAGAAAAGCACCTGCAGTGGCCCTGCTGGTGTCCCTGCCTCTGTCTGCTGCCAACCCTGGTTGGCAGTAGTCTGGACTTCTTTTCCGCAGAACTGGCACCCCAGAACCTTTTAAGTGGTACAGCAATGCTGTGATGTGAACCATCCAAGAAATGGCTTCCATGGAGCTTTCACGATGGCACCCAAGCTATCTTGCTCGTGTTCCCTAGTGCAACATTTCTTTATTCAGTTACCCTATTTAGTAAAGTCCTCTGCACTGTCCAGACCCGCAAATAGGCAAGTTGAATTCGGTTCTGTCCCAGCATGAAGTTTATAACTCTCACTAGATTATTAAATGATTAGACTTCAATGTAACCAATGCCAAATGTAGCAACAAATGAATAAACCCTAATTCTGTGACTTCTTGGCAAACGATCGCTGTCCTAATTTTTTCAAATTCTTCATAGTCCCTGAAGTACTATAACATATTTTACATGCTATGAAGCAACTTTGTCTACAGTTTACAAATCTGGTAATTGTTCAAAAGGTTCCCCCCGCCCCCCACACCACCACACCATACCGAAATTCAACATGAGTCCAGTAGCAATCAAGGTCATTTTGTTTTCTCAGCAACAAAACAAGATCCCCAAATTTCCCCAAGTGACACTGTTGTGTTTCTCTGGCAGGTGTAGTACAAGTTCCTTCAAAATTTCACAGCGTGGGTCAAGTCTGAGCTGGCACCGCCACTTCCATCTGGAGCCAGTTCAGGTTTACCGAGGTTGCATGTCAGGTTTATGGCGCTCATTCAGAAAACATTTCTGGATGAAAGAAGCCTCCTTTTCAAGTCCTAGTACAACGAGCTGTCTGTATTCAGAAGCGTGAAGGGAGAGGCAAGTTTCTTCTTTGCTGGGGAGCTCCCAGTAACCGCCGAAGGAAGACAAAGCGTACTAGCTGCTTTCTGCCTGTTCTTCATGCCCCAGCTCAAAAAGGACAGCTTAGGAGTCACTTTCTTGGCCTTATCTGTTTTTTCTTCTTCCATGGCCAAACAGATCAGAGAGTATGTTTTCTGCATTCCCACAGAATAAGTTGCACTTTTGTTGTGCTTGGGGGGTGGGGGGGAGGGAGGGAAGGAGACAGGAGAATAAATAAACAAATCAGTCATCCATGATGGGTCAACAAAATTTGGAAGACAACAAAAGGGCGCAGTGTGTGAAACAGTTTCTGAGACAGACTTCGCCATTCTTCTGTGTTAATTATAGTCCCTGTTGGACACAGACCAATCTAGACCACTGAGCTTCATGAATTGCCCATTAGGGCACGAGAAGGCTCAAACAGGAAGCATGTTTTGTCAAGGACCGGGTTTATCCAGGGTTGAACGTTCCTGAAAAACCCTCTGTGGTTAAAGGCTAAATCACCAAAACACACGGTTGGAGCAGTCACTAACAGCAGTTCTGAAAATACTAAGCATTGTGTCATTATCTAGTTCCTACTGAGAAAAAAGCATGGAACACTTCCCCCAGTTCCTTCCAATATCAGTTTATGGTGCAAATCTGGTACACGGGCCCCCTATAAACAGCATTATAGCCAAATGTTCATTCCCAGCTTTGTTTTCTGTTCTTGGAGAATGCACATAATTATGGCATTCACTGTTATGACAAATGGCAAGAGGCACTGTTTGCGTGGCTTGATAGAAGGAGGTTTCTGGAACAGCCATGCAAGCACCTTTTAAGTGATAAGCATATGGAACATAACGAGGGATGGGGAATTTGTCAAACCTGAATTTCCTTGAGTTCTCATTTTTACAAAGCGAAGTTGATGTCCACATTACGCTTTGTCAATATACATGTGCATGCTAATATTCACTTTTCAAAGCTCACATTTTTGTAATCCTTATCTCAAATGCATCTTTTTTCTTCATCAAATAAAGCCTTTTGAATACAAAGATGCACTTTCTACAGATGTATGCGTTTTTGTAAGCTTCCCCCATCCAAACTCCACTACGAATTTTGGAAATTGTTGGATTTCAGTGGCAAACTGCATTCCAGTTCAGAAAAGGCATGATAAGCACAGATTTGGTGCATTCACACTGAAATGTGGATCAAACAATTTCTCACCTATCCCTAGTAGGCATCATCTAGAAGAGATTATAGTAAACTGCCTTACATGCCTTTTGGAGTGTAAAGGCAGGACAACATTAAGAGCCAGTGCAGCGGTTAAGAGTGCTGGGCTGAGGCATTCTGGGTTCTAGTCCCCGCTCAGCCATGGAGCCAACTGGGTGACAGACTTTCAGCTCAGTCTACCTCACAGGGTTGTTGTTGTGAGGATAAGATTGAGAAAAAGAGAAGAAAAAAATAAATATAATAAACAAGAGGCATTCCTATGTGTGAGTACACACATATGCAAGAAAGAATGCTTTTTAAAAAGGTTCCTTTTATAAGAATTTGAACTAAGCACAATGCTTAACAACGCTTGTCTGGTCTAGAAGTGCTTTATATCAAGTAAACACTGCAGCATTTAGTATTTTAACACAATGCAGCTCAGACCCAAAGGAAATGGCCGTTCCTTAACTTACCAGGGAAGCTGCGGTGTCTTGACAGCTGATAACCTGGATCTCTGCTTCTTGATCTCTCAAGTTCTGGAATTTTTCCAAGACCTCGCTTGCTCCCAGCCATTTGCAGTCAGTGCCTTGAATGGCCACAATGCAGTCTCCTTCTTTCAGGCCTGCCAACTTAAGATCATCGGGTTCACCTTACTGCCAGCTGATATTTGTGCAGGATGGGAAAGGTTTTCCTGTATCTCATTCTCTGGGGGCGCCTTCTCAAAAGCCAGGCCATGTGTGGATGGTCAAGACCTGGCCTTTTGTGCAGGTTCTCACGGAAAGCATGAGTATCTCACCTTGCAACCCAATGCACACTTAACCAGGGGGAAGCCACACTGAACACAGCACGGCTTCCTTCTGAGTAAGCCTGCATAGCATTAAAACTACCACAGTTAAGAAAACTATCTGAAAACAGAGCTTACAGTTGATGAGAGATTTGCTACAGTTTTCTTCCATTGTCTATGAAATAGAAGCAACAAGACACCCTTGTGCTGCATGACTCTTCAGTTGTACCAGTTCAAAACAAAACAAAACAAAAAACAAAACAAAACAGGAGGAATCCTAGAATTTTTACACTGTATTTTGCAGGTTCATAGTTTACCATCTATGTTACAGGCTTAAATATCTGCATAATATCCAGGGAGAAGAGTTAAAACTGCAGAGCAAAAATCCAATTTACCAACAATGGAAATTGCCCTAATTATATGTTTATTTCAAAAGCATTTTTCTGTCTGGTCCTGTGTTACACCTGTTAATATTTAACTCCGTAAATTTCACTGAAATTAACATTTTAACCTTTGAGCAAATTTGGGAGGTCACAGTGTAAGTCCCATGCAAAATAAGAGGAAGCCCATTATGTCAGAGTTTGACTTACTGCTGCAGGAGAAATTGGATCGAGACAGTGAATGTGTACAGGGGGGCCGCCTTTCAAAGTGAACCCCAGGCCCTCAGGTTCAGAGCAGAAACGCACCGTGCGAGGAGCAGTCCACCGCTGTTTTGCTGAAAACACTGTAAGCGGACCCTAAGATATACAGAGCAGGAAATTAAACTGTTCTCTCCATGAGCTGCACATTTTAAACCAAATCCCAGACAGTCTTTCATGCACAGGTCTCCTGTGGTCTCTTTTTACTGTACCTAGAAATATCCCGCCCATGGTTTATGTGGCATTCGTCTCGAGATTGACAAAGACACAACATACTCCGTTCTCTAAACAGGGCTGAGAGACGCATGATAACCGCCATATTCCGACATGGCTCACCAACAGTGTCTGGAATGTTTTATCCCCGCAGTGAAGCGCACATAAGCATTTATCCTCTTTTCCACAAAGAGGCTGGTCAGGACTAGCTACCTCTTTCACCATGCAAATGTAGAGTAGGGATTGGAGCAGCCTCTAATTTGGATAAAACTAAGAGGCAGCCTTTGTTAGTTTCAAATTCCTCAAAATATCTGAGACTTCACCATCCATGTTTATCTTCTTGGTAAAACACCTGATTAGGGTCCAAAGATGCTCTCTCACACTCTGTTCTCTCTCACACCTCTCCTCATGCTCAGAAACTCCAGATTTTGCAAAATCAGGTAAAATGTGCCAAGCTGGGCTGCACAGCCCTTCACTTTGGAACCCCTCCCAATTGTTGCCTTCTGCTGTGTTGCTTCCTCCATCAAAACCTCTCCTTGGACATGTACATCTGGCTGCATTGTTTTAAAGGAATAATTTATCATTAAAATGTTCCTCTCATGCAAGACTGCACAGAGGCTAAACTCCCTTCTGTCCTTAGCGTACTTCACAAGATTTATTTAAAGTTCCATTTCCTCCAGGGTTTGGGCAAGTAAATCCAAATGTCCATCCTTTTCCTTTTTTCCTTGGAGCTGGGCTGAAAGGTTTAGAAAACCCCCAGCCTTCGGTAACCTGGTGCCCTTCGCATGTTCTGGACTTCGGCTCCCATCACCCCTAGCCAGCCTGACCAATGGTCAGGGATTTTGAAGGCTGTACTCCAAAACACCTGGAAAGCACCTGTTCAGCTAGGATGCTCATGAGATTCAACCCTGACTGGTTGTGGCCTAGCACAATTCTTCTTTGAAGGACACCGGCAGAAGGGGGAGGGGCGGCAGAAGAGAAGCGTCTCTGCTCTATCTATAACAGAGGGGAATGACTATGAGATTGCACGGCATTTCCCTGGCCCTTCCCTTTTCAGCAGGAACAAAGCTGAGTATCTCATCTGCACTGCACTCCATGTTCTCCGTGATTAACCTTCAATAGTAGCTTGGAGCCAGAGTCTGAAGCAGACGTCAAACTAATCATGTTAACCCAGGTGTAAGCGCAACGAAAAGGGAAAATTTCAAGGCAGGCAAGCAGGATGAGGAGGAACACACAAAACCAAAAAGGAGGGAGAGGAGCATGAAGACTGGAGGGGTGCAGCAGATCTCCCAGCAATGGCTCAGATGCAGGCAGAATAAAAGCTCGGCGGTGGACCTTAGAAGAGGATGCCCCGGCACGAGACTTTCTGCTGCTTCCTTCTTCTCAATCAGCCTTCCCAACCTGGTACCTGTGCAGTGCTGTGCTGGCTGGGACCGATAGGAGCCGCGGTCCAACACATCTGGATGCACCCACTGGGGAAGACTGCCCTTTGCCAAGTGGTTCACGGGGAGCAGGTTGCACACCCACACACACCGGCATGCACACTTTGACCTATATATGGTTAGACTGCAGAAGTGTGCCTCGATCCCTTACAGTCCACATGAAGCGCTGGCAGAAATCTGGACTTGGGCTACCCAAGCGACACACAGTGCAAACTCGGGAAAAGGAAACAAAGCATTATGAGGAGAGATGGAAAGAAGTGGGCACGTCCAGCCCTGAGAAGAGAAGACTGAGGGGACCTACGGCAGCACCCTGCACGCTCTTGAAAGGCTGTCTCATAGAGGAAGGACTGGATCCCTTCTCGATCAGCTCGGCATGCGGGGCACAGAGTAACGGCTCAAGTTACAGGAAGCCATGTTCCAGCTGAACAGTAAGAACTTCCTGATGGTTACAGTGCTATGACAACGGAACCGATGAGCTAGGGAGGCTGTGGGCTCTCCCACACCAGAGGCATTTAAGATACAACTGGGAGCCACCTGAAAGGGAGGGTTTAACCTGGGAGTCCTGCACGGAGCTGGGGGTTAGACCTGATCGCCCTCTGGCCCCTGCCAACTCTATTGTACTACAATTCTAAGATTTATTTCCTGTTCAGAGAAATAGATGTGAAAGCATGTTCTTCCCAGAAGCCTGAGCAAATATTATCAGTTGTTAGTCACAAGCAGCTAATGTAAATGAATTAGCTAATGTAAATGAAAAGCCCTTGCTTAATAAGAAACTGCATGCCACTTTCCAAGCTTGTTCTTACTATCCACGCTCACTAACAACAGAATGACAAGACAGCACTCAAGGAGACATTAAATAGGCAGCACAACTCCATACATACCAGCCTCTCGAATAAGTCTTTGACTTTCACCTTGGAGAACAGCGGAGCGATCGTTTCAATTTTGTGATCTGTCTTAGCTAGAAAACAAAACGAGAATCATTTGTAGCTTGCACTTATTCCAAGGAACTCAGAGCAACATCCATCCCCATCATCATCACCGTCATGGTCACCCCCACCCCAATCCTCACCCCAACCCTGTGAGGCTGAGGAAACACGACTGGCTGAAATTCACCAAGCATTGTGCCCGACTTGCCGGGGTTTGATGCTTGCCCAGGCCCTGCTGTGCAGCCACTGCACTGGGTGGAAAATTATATTGGTTCTGGGGAGAGATGAACCCACACAACTCACCAGGCAGACCGGATGGTGTCTGTGGACAGACCCCCTCCCATCCTCGTGGGTGCTTGAACCAGGGAGCCTGCCTGTGCCTCCTTTCCTCCCTGTTCCCACACAAGGAAGGAGGAGGAGGAAGGAGTAGGCAGACACCCCAGCAGGAAGAGACTGCAAGTTGTGAGTACCCCGGCTCTCCTCAACCTCCCCTGCCCAGGCTGGCCAGAGGTTCCCCTGACTTGCACCTTGGCCTGAAGCCAAGATGGCTGCCCAGTCCTAGAAGGTCACTGCTGGAACCGTTCTCCGGAGACCGCAACTTGCCACTGTCTGCTCCTCTATTGGGAGTGGCTGAGTTTATGCCAGAGACAGGCATGGCCCAGGACAGAAAATTTAAATGGAACTCCCTCACCACCATGATGACAGGAGGTAAGTAAATATACTGAATAGCTGAGAATTTGATCAAAAGGGAATCCTTCTTCCTACAGCAGTGATAAACAATACTGAATTAGACAAATCCCAATTGGGATAATTGGCCGTGTGCTACTCTTTGGCTGTTCTCAAAGAAGTCTCCTCCTATATGAATCTTTCTGAAAACGTAGACCTTGGTTGCAGAACCCAACTGGCTCTCACAGTAAGGAAGGATCTCATAATCACTACTCTTAATTTACAGTGCCTTTTCACCCTCCTTTTGCTTACAACACACACAATTTTATTATTCTTTAATTACAATCTATAGCAGCTGCTCTATCAAAGTGTGTGGATAAGAAATCGAGCGAGATGTTTTCTGTAATGCTTCCTGGATTTTTAATAGGTTTTTAACCCACCTTTCAGAGTACATAGCATGCGCCCTTGCAAGAAAGCTTACGTGTACCGTTCCAAAATAGAATCTAGCAATGTTTCAAATGTTTTAAAAACAAGATTAACGGTACAATCCTAGTTTGGTGAGGGAATGCTGAGATGTAGGACTTTCTCCTGTCTAAACATGCATAGGATTTGCCCTAACACAGCATGAAACATTATCATTACCATAACATTAAAAATAAGAGCAGCGAATCAACATTTGCTAAAACTGAGCTTCACAAAATTACGACAATGTGGACAGGATTTAGAATTATCCCTTCCTATTAGTATTTTAATCTGTTTGCTGCCTTAAGAGTATGCATATGCTTTATTGATTAGTCTTTGAATTTTATACTGCAGGGGTAATGCATGTGATTCACTGTTGTAGCATTTAATTGAAAATGTTTGGAAGGAACGAGAGAGAAAGAGAATTAAACATGCCGAAGGCTGCTGCCAGAGGAAGGTCTCTTCACCCTTCCCGATGGCTTTGGCCAAAAGGTGCGAGAGCCGCACACAGTCCTTCTCAGTCATACACTCGGAGAAAGCTCTCGGTCCCACGCAGAAGGGATTCATTCCTGAGACATGCCAGTCGGAAAAGCATACGTACGATTGATATCAGGAGCCTGTGCCAAACTCAAAAAATCATCTTCCTGCTCCTGCTGTGAGTATTTGAGGAGGGATCGCTTGTGAGCGACTGCCAGAATTTCCTGGAGGACCTCGATGTTCCGGAGCTTTTGGCACATGCCACAAACTCTCAAGGCTTCCTCGTGATGTATAATGGCTCTCCGCAAATGCGCTTTTCCTGAAGAAACACACAGAGAAGTCTCTAGGAAGGACTGCAATCTTGGAGGGAGTTTTGCCCCTTTATGTTACCGCAATCTGTAGGTACACATGGTTCCATCACAAGTCTTGGCCAAATGTTTGCTTTTCCTAAGTTAATATGGTCTGCAATTCGTAGGAACCTAAATAGGCTTTGTGCAAAATGAGGATCCATATGCAAACATTACAGTGGCTCTCATGAGGATTGTTTCTTCTATTTTAAAAGCCTAGGTTCCTGGCATTAATCCAGCAAAGCAGCCTCAGCCCCACAGGTTCAGCCCGGTCCACTACTACCAGCTATGGAAAAGACGGTCCCCTGTTTGTGGAACTCAGCAACAGAGAGAGGTGGCAATGCCATGTGCACTCAAGGCCCTGAAATAACATGGCTCTCTCCCCTCTCACTGGAGCAGTCCTTGAAGTGCAGACCAGTTTGAATCAGGATTTTCTACTACTGCAGATAAATCCAGGCAAGCATAATTCTGAAGCAGTTCTTTTCCTTTCACTTCTACATTTCAAAACCTTTGTTTCTTCCTGTACATCCAAGCACGTGGCCACACTGTGACAACCACATCTTTTTGTTAAGAAAATTATGAATGGCTAGACAGAAAACAATCCAAGAATTCCCAGCATTCTGTAGTCAACATGGCTGGCTAGGGAATGCTGGGAGTTGCAGGACTCTTTTTCCAACTAAACATGCCTAGGATCGTGCCCTTAACATCACAGGATGCATGGCAGGTATTTCCTCAAGATGAACCAGTGCCTGAGGTGTGAAGCCATTGGAATATGGGAGACTTTGAAGAGTTATCTCCTCAACCTTTGCTAAAGGAAGGGGCATGATTCTGCGTGGGGAAAAATTGAAATTTAAGGCAAAAGTGTGCAGAAGATAGACCAAGCTCTGCAGAAAATTTCCAGCGAGGATTTCCTTCTCCCACCAGTTTAACTGTTATAACTAGAAAATGACTCCTTCCCCCACCTCTGAAATGAAGAAATCTTGAAGTAACTGGGGATGGATTTGTGTGTGGAAGGACTGCATATTCAGCACTCAGAATACTTTAAACCTAAGTGGGTGTCTTGTGCACCAGCTTTTGGTAGGCTGATCTCAGTATTCTAGTTAAAAAACAAAGTAGATCCTGCAAGCCTGACATCTGGCCACCAAGGCGCAGAAGCAGAAAGTGGGAGAGGAGTTGCTGCTGAAAAGCTGGAGCTGAGCTGAGCTGCAGGTATCTCTCTAGGGGGCCCTCATGTAGCACAGGAGATCTGCAGCTAGGTGAGGGTATGCGCTGCCTGCCTCCACTTATGTATCTAAAACTCAGATATTATAAAAAATACCATCGGTCATTGTCCCTCAACAAAGAAGCCAAAGTCAGGCAACGATATCCCTTGAAGGGAAGAGTATAAATATACACAAATGATAAGAACGTACTTTGCAGCTCACAAGCAGTAAGGAAAATTGGCTAGCAGTGGGGCTGCCTTGCCGGTTCCTTTCTGTTATTTCCGCATTTTCAGTAAAACAGAGTGACACTGGAGTAACTCTGCCCACACCAGCCGGCGGCACCATGCAGACAAGGCCTCTCAATGGAAGCAGATGGGGCAGTGCAGTTTCTCCAGCTTGGATCCTAAACCGCGGATAGCGAAGCCCGTGTCTGAACTGAGCCAAGGAAGGGGAGATTACTCACCTAGTTGTTTGCGCTGAGCATTGTCCTTTAAAATGCCCAAGGGCGTCATCCCATCCGGCACGTGGTCATACAGCTGAGAGAAGGCCTTTTCCTGCTGGTCTTCGTCATCATTCTCACGTACTGGAGTGGCACAAATAACAAGCAAAGGAAAGAGTGGATAAATATGTGCTTGGATTCATTTCCGGTCTGGATGAGGCACCTTGAGGCCCGTGAGGCCTAAAATAACAGCCATGTTCTCACAAAACCAGTTCTCTGAGTGGGTCGCTCCATCTCTTGGGTAGTTCAAGTGCCCTTTTTAGAGCATTTGCGGTGCATCAAATGTGATGCCTGAACATTCCCCAGAACCACTGTGCTCCACATTTTCTGGTATCCGGTGCCTATGGAGAGCAGCTGCTGGGGGACTTATGCAGGAGGAGCCAGTGGCGCCAATATTCTGCCTGAGGGACCCTTTGGGCAACCAAACAGAAGGCTGGTTCGGACGGACCACTGGTCTAATCCCGCGTGGCTCTTCTTATGGGCTTACATGCCAAGTACTCCCTTTCATCCCCAAACCTGTTTCACAAGCATTGGCTAATCACTACATAAGAAACAAACAGGCATCAGGGAAAACTAGCCCCACAGTGGGATTTACTGCGCCCTTTTCTATTAAGTGCCACCTGTATCTGATGCTTTACCATTTTTAAAGGAGAGAGAAGCTCCTGCCCCAAGGAATTTGCAATCTAAAATGGAGAAACAGAAGTGAATGGGATGTAAGAAAGGGGAGCTTCTTTGCCCCAGTCACTTGTATAAAGCATGTATTAAAATACAGAAATATATTCCTCTTAAGCTGGACCAATGGGTTCACACTGTTTCCACCCATTAGTCGGTGGTGTAAGCAGCAGTGGATTGTTACCCCCGAAAGTAAATGGCTGGCAGTTCTTGATGTAATGTAATACTTGAAATCCTGGCACCCTCCAGATGTTTTGGGATTCACCTTCTGTCACCCAGCTAGCGCATCTCCCCAGGCAATCAGTTCCACAGCCTGGAAGCAGCCACTGAGGAGGCCCTGTTTCCGACTGCCACCAAGCCACCTCCCAGTGCCGGCAGCACCAAGACAACGTACTATGGGCAGCATGCTAGAGTGGGCGATCCAGGCTAACTCTCAGCCTAGCCTGCCTCACAGGGTTGTTGTAAGGATAAAATGGCGTGCAGGAGGAGGCTCGTGCAAGGTGGTGCAGTGGTGTAGTAAGAGAACCAGCATGGCGAATGATTAAAAGCGTGGGACTGGGGCTCGGGCAACCTGGGGTCTAGTCCCTACCTGGCCGCGGACCCCACTGCGTGACTCTCAGCACAAGCTGCCTCACAAGGCTGTGATTGTGGGGATAAGAGCGAAGGCAGGAGGAGAGTGATGTAAGCCACTCTGAGTCCGTTGTAAGAAAAAAGTGAGATATAAATCAAGTAAATACATAAATAAGGTGCCTTGAGCTTTTTGCAGGAGGAATAATACGTGAATACGTAACAGAAGGGCCTTCCACTTAAAACCTGAGCAGACTCCTACATAAATACCCAGCTATAACTAAATCAGGACCCAGGTGAATGGACTCAGGACCTATTCTCCTCTGGTTCCCTGTGCAGAGTAGCACGTCCCGGCTGGGATGGACACGCTCCAGCCCCATGGCTGGGTGCAGGTTCATGCCAAACTCCCTTTACAAGCAATGCACTCAGACTTCTGGGGAGCTCCTCCTCTGGTACTGCGCCAGGTGGAGAGGCAGAGGCAGAGCAAGGAGGTGGCAGACCAAGAGGCCCAGAATGACGGAACCAGCACAACAGGAAGAGAAAAGGGGAAGGCAGGGGAGAAAGCAAAGGAGGTGGCAGAGACCGAGCAAGCGAGAGAAAGTGTCTGCACAAGGGATGGAGAGAGAAAGGGGCAAGCGAGCAAGACAGCAAGACAGAGGAAAAGCGATGGCAGAGAAAGAAAGATTCGCTGAGCAGAACAAAAGCACAGGAAGAACTTTATATGCTGTCCTGTGCTCCTTGGAACAAGTTTTTGAACAAAAGTATAATGAGATAAAATAAGCAGGCGATGGTGGCATGAGTTCTAGCTGGAACGGTGGGGGGCTACTCCAGTTTCTGTGACACCGCTCTGGGCAGATAAACGAACAGCCATTCTTACTCTGGTGGTCACTCAGCATAGTTGCCACGAAATAATGTGCCAAAGCTCTGAAGTGGTCTGACTTGATCTGGGCCAGTTTCAACCAGGAGTAAGGGATGTTCTCCTTGACTGGTGTTTGGTTCATTGCAGTGTGAACAAGCGTGTATGTTTCTCCAACCTAAAAACAAGCACAAGAGCCAGGAATGAGCCACAGTCTTGTTATTAAAGGCTCAGACAGTCATTTGTGGGTAACATCAGCCAGCCAGTGGGGCGTGCACCTCAAAAATGACTGCAGGCTATAAAGGGTATAAATTATAAGGGATTTATATACATATATAATTAAGTAGGATTGTGTTTTCTCATATGGCATGTGAGTTTGGAATCTAAACGACTGAAATTCTGACATCAGTGACTTTCTTTAAGAAAGAAAAACAATATTCCAGCATTGGCTTGGGTCCAGAAAAGCTCAGGCAGAGTTTGATTCAAGCAAAAGGACTTCCCTGCTTTTCCTTCTCTTGTGTGTCTTGTTGTGTTTTCTAAAATGTTCAGGGGATTCTCCAGAACAGTGTATTGGGAGTTGAGTGGGAGAAATTGGATACTCAAGCGGCACATTTTCCACACACAAGAGCACCTCTGGTTCCTTCCCACGGGTGTCCCATCAGCAATGCCTCAAGCTTCAGGAAAGCTCGGAACAGCTGGGGTTGAGTATGGCTTGAGGGTGGGCTGCTGCTGGACCAGACACTGTAGCTGAAATGTGGGTTATCCTAATTTGCGGTTATTCCTCAGAGGCTCCCACTGTTTGCCTGCCAGAAGCCATTCCTCTGTTCGACTGTCTATTCTGTAGGATCCCGACCCTTGGTATCAAATATGGATTTTCTTTATGTTGAGAGCTCAGTGCTGTGGTTGTTGATCTGATATACTATGAAACAGCTCCACATGCAGGCAAATATTTCAGTCACCTTAAAAGGAAAGCTTAATATTAGCAGATTAGTGGTGTTAATGTGAACTTTGCTTCAGAAGAGATATGGATTTAGGTGATATGTATAATAACTGGGCCAACAAAAGAGAATGTAACATTTGCAAGCTAAGTTTTGTATACAAACTTTAAGCTTGTCTTTTGAATGATCGATCCAGCTGCTTCTGCAAAATGATAATCTGGAAGTCATTTTCCAGCCAAGATTAATTTACTGAATTATGTGTAGTTCAGCAATTGAATCTGATTTCTCTTAGGCACAATTCACATGTTCCTTTGCCAGTAAGAGCAGACATGGACGGAAATCCCCAACTGCCTGTTTGGAATTCTGATAAAGGGAGTAAACATCAGATGACTGGGAGGAGGTGCCTTCCTTTCACCCAAACTCCAAAAGAGACTCCTTCCCGCGTGTCCCTTTATTCAAAGGGCATTGTGCAAACTCCCTCTCACTCTCATGTGTGCGCGCGCGAGTGTGTGGGTGTTCTCTTTAAAAAGTGCTTTGGACAGTGAAAAGATTATTTGTTAACCAACAGGAACCCAGTCTGAGAGTGTCAATAGCTCAGTGGAAGAACATGTTTTGCATTCAGAAGATCCCGTATTCAATTTTGGCATCTCCAGTTTTGCAGATGATCAAATTCTCTGACTGAGACCCTGGAAAACCTGCCACTCAGAGTAAAACAATCCTGATTAGTTGTATACTCTGTCACTGCTGATAGAGGCCAAGCTCTTATGTTTCTAATATACTAAAATCCAAGAAAGCATTCCTGCTTGCAGCTACAGACGAACGTTTTGTGGTTTTGTTTTGTCTTTCAACTCATGGCAATCGGTAGCAAATACAGAAGGCTGATCTAGGGTTCTTGGAAGCCTTCTTCACACATGCAAAAGGCATCACACATTACACCACAATCCTCATACGATGAACATGCATGTATAAACGAGCCCTTCATGTTGTCGCCTACCTTTGCAACTTCCTGGGCCATCTTTACCAGTGTGAAGAATTCATTCCTTATTCCAGGGAGGCAGATTTGCTCAAAGACACATTCCCGGGCCTGAGCAAGCATCATCTTGACCAGCACACTCAACATGGCGGGGCTCATGTCATAACTTGGGGTGTGAGTAAAGGTCTCCTTAAGGTACTTCAGAACTCCTAAAATGGGGAAGGGGGAGGGGAGAAACAGTGTCAGTTCTGAAGCCTTTCACAACAGATCGTGGCCACATCTGGCCAATCCCGTCTCAAGTTATGTGACCAAGACATAAACAAACCCAACGCTCCCTTTGTACAAGCTGGCGAAAAGTCAGGTGGTCTTCAGTTTCCTACTATAGCTAATGGGTATAGAACAAGCCAGGATATTAAGCCTTGGTTTACAAATTGGGGGCATCATGCTTATTTATATCTGGGCTAGTTAAGCCAAGATATGATTACCTGAACGTGGTCCACATTAATGGTTAACAAAATACCCTGTTTTAATTAAGACTGTGGTGCAACTACTTTAACTAGGGATGGGTAGAAGGACAGAGGAAAAGTTAAATTAGCAATCCAAGTACTTTCTGTTCAAAATGTAAACTCTCTTAATGACATAATAAAATATCTTTTAAATATTATGACATTAAGTTATACATATGAAAAATAATGAGGTGCACAAAAGTCATTTTACATATATACTTTTTAATGATGAAAAATGAATATCTAAGCAAATAGCGCATTGATAACCAATGCATTGGTATATTCTGCACACTGTTCTAATAGCATTGTGCTATCAAAAGGTATAGAAATGCGTAAGTCAATAACACCAAAGTAATAACGCTGGGTGCATCCCCAGGTATTTTCCTCCCTGCCTTCCAGTGACACATCTTTATTACTCAGCCTTGTTTAGTCTGATACATTTCAGCAAGAGATCTTGTAGGCCAAAGCAGAGGTGAGGTTAGAGCAACCGCCCTATGAAGAATGGTTTTTCCACCGTGGGGATTGCTTAGCTTAGAAAAACCCAAGTGCGGGAAGTCATGACAGAGGCACGTGACATTGTGCATGGTGCGAAGAAAGACTCTTCCCCTGTATTATGGCACTAGAACTCAGAGGGGCCATCCCATGCAGCTGCCTGGTAGGAGAGCCAGGACAGAGAAAGGAAGCACTGCGACACAACACATGGCTGAGCTATGGCGTTCACTTGCAGGGCTTTCCGATGCATGGAGAAGGTCCCTGCCAGTGGCTACTAGCCACGCTGGGTCCTGCTACTGCCCCCACCAGAGGCAGCGTGCCTGGGCACACCAGTTGTCGAGGAGCTCAACCAGGTGAAGCGAGCTGCTTGAGGACAGCTGGTTTGCCATCCCGTGAATGGAGCCCTGGCTGGATGGATCACCGCTCTGATCCACACGGCGTTTCTTTCTTATTTCTGATATTGTTCAGATATGATACAGCTGTCCGGATCTCTTGACTTTGAAAAACAAGCGACTTAAGATCAGCCGGGGGCGGGGGGGGGCTGAGAAGGAAGCAACAGAGAAGGAGACATTTGGGGGTTTGAGGAGAGAAAGAAGTCCCGGAGCAGCTGTGCTTACTGGCTCAGGAAACCCTTGGCCAGCACCGCACCAGAAGAGCAAGCACCATGGAACATCTGGGCAAAATTCAGCTCCAAATGTAACTAGCTCTCTGAAAAATTAAGTACAAATATTTACGGTAGCATAAATATTCTATGACACTTGCGGGTGCTGAAGTCTAAGCTTGAAAAAATGCATTGCACTCAAAACTGGTTGGTCAAGTTTTACCAGCAAGGCTTAATTGCCCAATCCTACTGAAAGCTTTATCACTTCTCTACACTGTTAAGTGGAGACAACATTTGCTGCTTTCAAAATTACTTCCACCGCTATATGAAAATTGCTCCGGGAGCAGCCTTCTGGTCAGACCGGCTAGAGAGGGAAAGGGGGAGACGTGCTCACAGCCTGGGGGCTGCACCTTCAAAATGGCTGCCGCAGGTACCCTGCACCTGCCACAGCCTGGCCGTGGGGTGTGTCCCGTGAGCAGCCCAATGCCTGGCCCAAAGCCACCCAGCTCGTCTCATGGCCAAGAGGGAACTTGAACCCAGATCTTGCTAGTCCCAGTCCAACAGCCTAACTACACCGGCTTTCGAACCACTTCTTACATCTGAAAATTAAAAAATAACCATAACCACATTTCTAGGCAAGGCAGGGCTTTTTTTGTCATAGAACATACCGGAACAGCGTTCCGGCACCTTTTTTTGAGATCGGTGGCAAAAATCATTAACATAGTGCCTGCAGGCTGCTTGTGTGTCGGCACTGATCGTCGGCGCCGATTGTGAGGGCGCTGCTCAGCTTGGGACGCTGCTCGGCTTGGGATCAGTTGTCTGGTTGCGCGCTGAGTGCTTACTGCCGGCGGTGACCATTGTGTAAAAGTGTGACCCCAGGACGTGAGTTTTGGCACCTTTTTTTTTTTTTTTGTACAAAAAAAGTATTGGGCAAAGGTTATCCTCCGTAGCTAAGAAAAAAGCTGTGAACGTTAGATAAAACTCTGCCAAACTTCATTTCACAGATCGCCATTCTTATCTCTCAAAAGTCCCAATAAAGCACATCTCAGTTGAGTATGCACTTCACTCATGCTGCTTGTCTCGCTCTCTATATGCACAGGATTATGTTTATGGGGAAAAGCCATAGCAACAATCTTCGATCTGTCTGCAAAGAACCAGGTGGATAACATGAATGAAAACTCTGAGTGGTGCTTTCCAGTTGCGCAAGGTGCAACAAAGAGCACTCTGCAAGCATGGCAGGCTGAAGCACATCTTTCGGCCTTCAGGATCAGTGCGCACTGCAGAATAATCACAGCCAATGATGTGTCCCTTTACATTTTTTAATGTCGGAATTCTGCACCAGCTCTATATTCTGTGGCCTGTGCAAGTTTTTGCACAAGAAACGTACAAGTGCTTGGGACTACTGGATGCAGTCGTATAAATGAAATAAATAAAGTGGGATCTGCAGTGAAGTTTTACAGCGTGCAGTACTCCTATCCAGGATTCCAGTCTCTTTATTCCTTTAGCTTTCCCCAGTGGCAGCTGCCATTTTTGGTGGATTCCCCCTGCCCTGGGCTTTATTTTTCTAAATAGTTTTGTACTTTGGCAGGTCTCAGTTACCACACTCCTACAGCACACATAAGCAACAGCAGTCACAACCTAAACACTGGCAATCAAGGGAATGATGTGAAAAAAAATCTGCTTAGTTTGTATGATTTATTTACAAAATGCTAAGGAACTATATAGGAACTGAAGAAATCCAGCCTGTTTTCCATTTCTGGTTTCTGAGATTTTAACAGCTATCCTTGACACATTTGAAAGGGTATCTTCATCAGGGTTAGACCCTTGGTTACATAAGGCAGAAGCTGAAATTTTCAGGATACTCTGCACATACAGAGGAATGCAGAATACACACAGATCCCTGAATTTGAGCTCCTTACTAGAATCTAGTTCCTCCTGGGAATCGGGTATTTTAGTAAAGGAAAGGACAGGTTTATAATCAACTGAAGTCAATGGCACTGCATTTAGCATGGAGATGGTTAAAAATGTGGTCAGCTCTGGAAAGTAACATACAATAAATTATATATGGCACTGGAGGCAGTATGCGTGGAGTTACAATAGAGCAAAAGAAAAGAAGGCCAACATTACGAGCTCAGAAAAACAGTTAATAATGGACCAAAGTCACCTAGGCCTTTAGACTGCAGCTCATTAATCGTTAACCACGATATTCACTTTGTCTTGACTAAAGGCCCTATTCAGGTGCAACCTGAGATTTGCGGGTGGGGAGTTAACACTAAATTTCAAAAGAAATGTTTTAATTCTTTTTAAAAACCTCTGCTCCAGATCTCAACTTCCCTTTCAGCTTTGATCCTGCCTCTCCTGAGAGAGTGGCATTTTTCTAAAAAGCGGCAGCCCATGTAAAATATATGAGGCTTTGGAGAACAGAAAGCATCAAGCAAAGCAGAAGCATTTGGATTAAGCAACTTTCCCAGGCAACATCACACGGCACTTTCCTACCTGCAGCATTCTGTAAAGCTTCAACTGCCTTTTGAAGGCCAGCATCTGTCTGTCGATTGCACCTTGTACCAATCTGTGTGTAAAGTGCACCAATATTAAATAAAATGCTGGCTTTTTCAAGCAACAAGTTCTTCTGGCAGACAGGGACACCTGTGAAGGAGTCATACCTGTATCAGGAAAAAAAAGCAAAAATAAAGGTTAATTAACAGAAGACATGGAAATACAGAAAGCATATAGTACTTTTTCATTATGGGCTGGTTTTCATGTGACAGCAAACTATAGTTTCTCTACCAATCACAGGTTAGACTCCCAAGTCATATTTTGTGTCTTTTCTTCCTTCCCAAGTAATTCCAGGATGCCATCCCAAACTATTGTCTCCATAGTAAAGCAACAACATATGTCAGTTTGAAACCCCAACCAAAGCAATGAGTCCAAACCATGGTTTCATGTTGCAAACCATGGTTTGGTGTTACATCAGAAACGATCCTGTTTAATCCAGTGAACCAGTGCATTCTCCCTCCCCTGTAGTCCCCATCTGCATCCTCTCAGGTGAGAATTTGCCTTTTGAACACATCTGCCCTCTATCTATGTAATAACAGTTCACATGTCAGGCAACCCATGGGCTGCAGGGACAAACAAGCAGGCCTTCTGTTTTTAGTACCCACGCCACTTCCACTTTTCATAAGCCACCCACAGCTGGTTCTTGACTGTAGAGAACAAAAAAGCAGTCCCTCTTGTCCATTGTCTAACTGTGGGAGAGACAGGCAACACCAGCGAGTAATTTTATATAAAAAGGCCTCTTTGTTGCAGGTGCGCACTAACGATAGTGAGCCTGCCTCTAGTTGGGACCAGCTGCCAGTCATCATGTGCAGCAAATTTAGCTTTTAGCACTGATTAGTAACAGAAAATATCATTACTTTTGTACATGGTTGTCTTGACCGACCCTTCCTTAACCCATGCGTGATCATTATGTATGGACCAAGTCATTACCTCCATTTTAACCTGACCAACCACCATGTTCTGGATCTGGTTTCAAATTCTGGTTGACAAGAAACTCCAGTGAGCCGCAACCAGAATTATAACCTGTGTTGACCTGATGTTCTTCACATAATTAAGGATGGAGTTTGCATCCAGGGAAAGAAAAAATGAAAGGGGACTGAGGAAAAGGGTGTAAAATCTCAAGGCTTATTCCCAGCCTCTCGGATACTAAGAGTTTGATCAGCATTACACTTGTACTGACCCATTTTACAGACTCATGTGCTCCCACAAAGAAGTACACAAATACTGAGGGTACAAAAAAACACACGTTAATTATTGAGCTTTGTGAAGTGTAAAGTACATTTTTTCTTGCTCTCCTAAATGCAGCACACCCTTTCTGTGCAATGCTCGACTGGACCCCTAAGAGCTTTTCTGGCCCTATGTCAGGTTGCAATCTGTTGCATCAGATTTCAAAACTATCACATGAGGCTTTGCTTCTACTGCATGAGAACGGCTGACTGCTAAATTATCAATGTTCCCTTTATTTTTTTTTTTAAGAACAAACTTACCAGGTAAATAAAATTCCCAGGTGTCTGCTAGGTGAAAAAAATCGGTTCTCTATAAACCCAAGCTGAATGAAATAGGATAGCAACATCTCAACCCCAGATTCATTTCTGCTGGGGGTACGACACGCCTTTGAATATATAAAACATACATTAGTCATGATATAAGCATCCACTGAATACTATACATGCATAAAGTTTATCATTTCTACATTCCTAAGTCCTTACCTTTATCAACTTTCCCACACTCTAAGGACATCAACAGAGGATTAACCTGCCAGTGCGAGCAATTGGGCTAATGAGTGCAAGGGAAAAGGCCTTTTCTGTAATGGTTCCACACTTTTCAAATTAGCTTCCACTGGGGATTCAGCAGGCTTCTTTTTCACAGGTCATCAGAAAACTCTGGTCCCTCACCTGTTTTCACTGACTTTCTCCTAATTTTGGGCACAGATTTCATTTATAAGCACTGTTTCTATTGATGTCTAGTTTTATTTATTTGTTAAATTTTGTATTGCATCTTACATGTCACCTTGAGAGAGTTCCACCCTTAAAAGGCAGATTAAAAGTAACGTGAAATAAAATTAAATCAGGCACTACCTTATATATATTGTGGAGAGAAACTGTCCATGCCTTTTTACAATTACAATCTATAAGTCAAGTGCATGAACTGAGCTTGCAGTATGAAACATCAGCTTTCATGTTCTGTATGGAGTTTGTTTCGAGCATAAGGCCATCTCTACTGGCACAAGACCAGTATTTACATGTTGGTGTTTATTTGTGGACATTGTTCTAAGGACTCAACATGAATGAGAGGTTTCCCCATAAACCACCTCATGAGATATGATGAAACTGGCCCATACGTTACCCTGTGAGCTTCTGGCTGAGTGGAGACCACCCAAACACCAAGCTCTGGGCCTATTCCAAACAGTTTTTGAAATGTTTTCTATCTTGCATGATTGAAAAGTTTAATGCAGTATTTTCGAAACAGGCCCAACTTACTTGTCGTAAATCCATAAGATCAGCAATTTCGTTCTCATATTCAGAAGCATCTTCACTATAGTGTTCCAGAATAAAGTCCTAAAATCAATAACAAGGCATGCAGAAGCTGCTTCAAATAGTGCAGGCCAAACCCTGGATTTCTTCACCGGAGCCACACAAGGTCACAGCTTTACATGCAAAAAGTCCAGGCTCAATGCCTGGCGTCTCCAGGTAAGGCTGGAAAAATGCCTACCCGAAGCCTGGAGAGCTGCTGCCAGCCAGTGTTGCCAATACTGGGTTAGATGGACCAGTGGCCTAACTCAGTAGAAGACAACTTCCTATGTCCTCATTTAAAACATCAATCAGAACTGAATGGATCTCACTTGATTAGTTACCTCTGAAATTTATTTAGGTAGAAAAATGTGCTATAATTCCCACCATTCGTCAGTCAGCAACATTTAAAAATGCACAGGATTGCAACTGAACTGCCTGCTGGAAGAGGAACGTCTTAACCTGATTTAAAATGTAGACAAGAAAGATGCCATGTAGATCTCTCTGGCAAGGGCATTTGCACAGATGGGGCTCTCTAGAGAGAGAGTTCTTCCCTTACTGGCTACTCGTCTCACTATTATGTGAGCTCGGTTATGATCTGGGACTACCATAGCTACAAACACATTACAGATGAAACCAGGGACACGAGCCAATGCTCCTCTCTCACAATTATGATCATGGGGCTGGAGCAGCTCCTCTGTGAGGAAATGTTGCCAAGCCTGGGAGTCTTCAGCTTAGAGGGGACGTGAGCAGCACATTATGTGATGGAGGTGCACAAGATGTTGTGTGGTGTGCAAGAGGGGACATTTTTCTCCCACTCTTAAAATGCTAGAACTCAATGAGCTCATCCCAAGAAGCTAAAAGGACTTCACAGAGCACACACTGAAACTGGGACTCACTTCCAAAGATGGAGGGATGGTCACCACATGATTTATTCTTTTTTAAGCAACAATGTAACACTGTGAAATCCATGATAATACAAAGTTTAATTGTGATCCTAAATCAGCTTCTACAGTTTGTAAATCACACCACTGAATAATCTTTCTAGGACTACACAAATGCATAGAAAAGACTTTGAATCTATGTATCATTCCAACATCTGCATGATATACTGTTTTTCAATGTTTTGAAGTTTGTATGTTTTTTCTTTTTTTAAATTATTGCTTTGAACACCTACCTTCAGAAAGACAGTAAAATCAACATCTTTGGTCTCTTTCAAACCAAGTGGTATCAACGGAATACTAAAAGCTCCCCTGTGTTAAAAGAAGAAATAGCATTAGACCACTAGTTTATTTTCTTCTGCTCCAACACATCTGTACGAAAAATGTATTGCTAATATACTTCTAAATGCCATCAATATTTTCATTCACATGTTCTTGTTTTGACCCTCTCCTGAGGGGCTTGGTTACCGGGACTTCACACCCCTCTGGAACAGACGTGTTGAACCTTGTTCAGACCATGGGCCACATTCCATTTTGGAGAAGTTCTGCGGTGAATGAACTGCTCTGTGCATGCCCAGATATTCATTCTGCATGTTTGTGCTTCTAAAAATGCTTTGGTCAATACAGAACGTTTTGCAAGAAACAAAATGGCTTTGAATGTACGAAGGGAAGAACCGTAGCTCACAACAAACATTTTCTTTTCCTTTGTTGAAGAGTTTATTGGCTTGCAACTGTTTCCCTCACGCTAGCATCAAACCAGTTCAGGGCATTGTTATGGTTTATGTTTCAAAAAAGGGAAAGCAAAGATGGAAGACAAAACTGACCAGCCCAAGGCCATCCAAGGAGTTAAATCTGGGAAGGCATTCTTGATCACCTATAAAGGTCAAGCTTTGAGTGGCTGTACAATACTTAAAAGCTGCTGTGCTACTAGGCAATGGAATTATGCAATAGAAAGGAATCAACAGAATCTTATTGGAAATCTGTCTGACTTTGTCACTGGGATTTCTGCAAGTTTAGGTGTTTTTTCAGAGAGTGAACTGAGCCAAGGTTTTGAAAGGTGAGGCAAAAACATTGTTTGGAGAGATGGAAAGGTCAACAAAGGTCTGTCCTGATGACAGTCCAGAAAGGTAAAGGGAAAAAACAGGTCTTAGGACTGTCAGAATGGAGGGAAAATGCAACAGTTCGTATGAAAGAGAGAGCAGGCTGTTTCTGTTTAAGAGAATAAACTAGCTTTCCTCTAGATTCCACTTCCCTCTTCCTGTGGCACTTGGTTAACTATGGTTAGTGGAAACAAGTCAACTGCAAACCACAGTTTATGGAGCTGGCTTGTTAAGATTAACCATGATTTGGTGTTCAGACAAAATACTAACTTATAGTTTCGTTAATATATGTAAACGGAAGCAGAACCTTCTGGACTACTCCAAGGCTTTGCCAGAGGAGGAGGTGAGAGAAAACAGGATATAAAACCACGACTGAAGCTGGCATAGTTCCTCTCAAACGAGAGCGTGCTTCGGTGTGAGGTCCAAAAACAGCCAATGGCAGAGCAAGGGACAGAACCTGCCAGCTGCTTTCACAAAGTACTTGGTGGCCCAGAGAGAGACCTCACAGAAGAGGGGGCACTATAAGGCCAGGGATTTACTTTTGAATGCTTACCCACTGATTTTTCAAAAACCCTTTCACAGCTAGCATATGAGCAACTAGCATAGAAGGGAAAAAGCAGAATTCTACCCCAAACCACCATTTGCTTTCTCCTTCTAAGGACATTTCTGACAGAGCAGCCAAAGAAAACCACTGGTTCATGGGGCTCCCACTTTACAAACCACCTGCCTTTACCTTTGACCTCTGTCCCCCCACCCCCTCTTCACCTTTCTCTTAAGACTGCTGGGATGCTTTCTCCGTGTGTTCCTGCGCTCACTGACTTTTCTGAACTCCTGGAGCACACCTTACCGCTCCATTAATCCCTAGAGTGTGTGGGTCCTTTCCACATGGATTTCTGCTTTCAGTGGGGCCATCTCTAAGCTGCTTGCAGCAGCCTGAAATCACCCGTGTGCCATGCAGCCCTGGAGCGGTAATCAGACTGAGAAGCGTCAGTACAGTTCTCTTATAAGCACGCTTTTTGTTATTGAGAAGAAACTCAGTTTTGCGTACTTCTGAGTAGACGTGCAGAGGCTTTAACGTTGTGGGTGACTACTACAAATTACTTTCAAGCAGTCATGGAGAGGGACTCGAGATGCTCCCTGGAACTTACAAGGGGTGGAGCCCTACTTGGCGCCAGGCCAAGACCTTTTTATTTAAACGTCATTTTAATTGTTAATATTATTTATTGATTTTATATCTTTGGCCAGAACGTCTCCAATTATATTGTTATTATATTGTTTTTGGCTGATATACGGCTGATATATTTATTGTTGTGAGCCGCCCCGAGGCTTCGGCGAATGGGGTGGCATAGAAGCTCGCTAAATACATACATACATACATACATACATACATACTCTCCTGCCCATGCTTTCGTAACGAGTAATTTAGTCTTGCTTACTTCTGAAGATTCATCTATCGCTTTGACTGCTGCATGATCTGCCAAAGTGTTGGGGGGGGGGTTAGATGCTGCCTACTTTTTTTTGTTTTGGCCTCACGCACCCCCTTGATGTGCTCCTTGGGCTGAAAAAGCATCTCTTGCCCCCGTTATATAGGGAAGCATTCAAATGTGTGATATTCCCCCCTTGGCAACCTGCAGGGTGAAGCAAAACAATCCAATGTCTCATGTGCAGACTAAGCCAAGGTCGGCACATTTTACAGGGACAGGAAAGGACAGAGACTTGTCATGGGGGAATGACCACCGTCTTCTCACTCCCTCTCTCCCGATTTTTCCTTCTCTTGCTTCCTCCATTCACCTGCTCCTCCATTCAGGGTGCCTCACTTCTCCCACCGCCTGTTCACCTCTGCTGCTTCTGCCCACCTTGCCTGGCCACCACAGTTCCTCCCGCCTGCGCCGACCCCTGGCCCTGCTGCTTCTGCCCACTTCACAGCTCGGAGGCAGCGAGTTGAGAGATGAGGAGGTAAGTCTGCTGGCCTCCTGCTTCCCTGCTGCACAGGCGAATGGTGAGCGAGCGAGTGTCCCTTTGGGCACGGTGCAGGGACCCCCGGGAAGAGGCCATGATCCATGAGAGAAGGGTGCGGTAGAGCGAAGGCAAACAACCAGGAGCCCAGAGAGGCTGATACTTTTCCAGGAGATGCAGTGGATCAAACAGAGCAAGCATCCAGCTCAACTCCCAGGAGGGTCTCTTTCTGAAAGCCCCCATAGCCAGTGACCCTCTTTGGAACCAACATGGGAAACACCTCTTCAAAGCCATCATTCGCCTCTTGGCCCTTAAACAGGGAAATGCACTACAGTTCCTGCACACTGTCAGCCTGATTTATCCAAAGAGAACAGGCCTTTCTCTCAGGGGAGACTCAGGGCTTTCACGGGAAAATCCAATATACCCCGAAGTAGTTCAAGGCTCGGCCCTCCTTCTCTCAATTCAGACACAGTTGCACACGCCCAGCACTGGCAGAAGCAAGCTTGCAACCTGCCCTGTTCACAAGCAGGTACAAAACCCAGCCTTGTTATTTCAAAGCATGCCAATTTTGGAGCAAAAAGCACGCACAGATGAAGCAAAGGCCAAAGCAAATCCCTGGCCTTAGCCAAGACATTAAAATGAACCCTTTGCTTGTTGATTTAAAGCATTCCCCATGATCCAACTTTATTAAGTTGCGCACCAATTTCCATGGGCACCAGTGCTCCTGCCAGCTCAAAGATGAATGCAGAGTGGAATTCAATCTCTGAAATGCCAACCTCACGGAGGAGGGAGAGAGAGAGAATAATATGCTTCTCTTTTCTGACTGGCAGCTCTCACAACACTTTGCAAAATGTCCCTTGAATCTACGCGGCAATGTGGCCAGAACCAAGCATGCTCCACATGGACACAGCTGTGCAGTTGCCACGTGCTGTCAAGTCATCTCCAACACTGGGCAACCGTCTGAACCAACGTCCTCCAAGACACTTGACAGCTCTGCTCAGCTTTCCTCAACTCAAGGCTGCAGCTTCTTCCATGGCATTGATCCATCTCATATTTGGTCTTCCTCTGCCTCTGGGTTATTGCCTTTTCCAGTGAGTCCTCCCTCCTGGCAATGTGCCTCAGGTATGACAGCGTCACGTTCACCATTTCCCCCTCCAGGCTAAGAGTTGGCTTGATTTAATCCAGGGCCCACCTGTTTGTCTCTTCGTCAGTCCAGGGTATTGACAAAGCTCTCCTCCAGCACCGTGTTTCCAACCACCAATTTTCTTGCTATATTTCTTCTTCCAAATGATTGCGTTGGCTTAAGAAGCCATGCCCGAACAGTACTGCTTGGGTTGTGTCCATCTGTGGGGGAGGCAATGATGGACCCATCTATGTTCTTTCACAGCTGTCTCCAGCTGTTGCGGACCTATCGGCGCTCTTGCTTTGAACTCCTGCAGGCATTTTCCCAGGTTCCAAAGTGAAGCAGCTGCTTTTGCCAGATTTCTTTCTGTGGGTGTGAGAATGCAGGAAGCTTGCTTGGAGAATGGCTGGCAGCATCCAAGCAGGCGCAGAGGCTAATGCCGCCATGAGCTCATGCAGGGCACTGCTCCCCATTCTTCAGGCAGCTCTGCTGAGCCTTCAGCAGCAAGTCAAAAGCTCCAGTAACAGGAAGGGGCCTCCTCAGCTCTTAGAGCAAAGGCGGGGAACAACTGTGAAGTGGTGGGAGAGTAAATGACCCTCCACTTTTCTTGCTGGCACATTAGCTGAACAGTCAGCTTCATCTGACCTCTTCTGCACTTCCTCTCGAAAGCACCTGCCGAGTGTGCAGCCTGCTTTGGTCTTGGAATCAGAAGCAACGGTAAAGTACACTCCGCAGGGGGTGGAGCATGCAGCTCACCTTCCCCCTCTCAGTTGGCCGGGAATCCCACATCGGGGAAAGTAACAAGATTTTCCTTCACCCCATCCACCCTTTGGGGTCCTTCTCCCGGAAGCCTCCTCAAGCCCCCAGTAGTTTTCACGGCAGTGGATGAGGTTTGGGGAGGGGAGCTCCTGCGGAGGGAAGCCAAGATTTGGAAGCCAGCTGGGGACCTGCACTGGGCTGGATGAGGCCCACAACAGACCAGAGTTCTTCATTCTCAGAGCGTTCAGACGTTCCCACTGCACCTGCTCCACAAGTTGCCATTGGTTATAATGTTTGGCAATTTCACTGTAGCTACCTTTGTCAAAAGCAAAGTTTAAGATAGGTTCTAAATTACCAAAAAAAAAAAAAGGATGAGGGAAGGTAACTCTTAAACTAAGGGGACAAATTACACTAGGAAAATTGGTATTTACAATTGCCTGGGGCCTGGCATTAAATGTTCTGGTGCAAATCCACTCTCCACTTTGTCTGTTGACTTTAAGCAAATGAATAGAATGGAAGAATTTGGCCTCGGTCCTCTCTGACACTCCCCACTCAAACAATCTCCTCGAAAGCATTTCTGAGGATTAAGGATCAGAATTAATTAATACCCTTCCCAAGGAGGAAGGTAAATACCCCACCTAATCCTTGGTCAACGGCCAGATCAGACTGAGCACTTTCAGCAGTCACCTATACGCCTTGTACCCTGTGCTCCTCCCGCAGCCAAACAGCCGCAGTTTTTCTTCTGCAGGTTGTGGAACAAAAATGGTTTCCCCACTCACTCAGTATTCTGGTAGACCTCGACCGAGATATTGAGTCCTTCCAGCTCTTCCTTAAGAATCTGCAGATTTGAGTTTACATAACTGAGTTCAAGAAGCACCTGTTCTCGCGCTTTGTTGTTGGTCGTCACCCTGCCAAAAAAAAAGGATGTGCGTTTTTTCGTGTGCTTTGAGAGCAGCCCTTTCTTGTATAGTGGTCCTGTAAAGCTCCCTTACTGGCATTCTCCACATTTTTGAGATGGTTTAAACCTGCCCCTACCCCTTAAGAACTGATATGGAAACTCTTGTTTCAGAACGACTGACTTGGCCTATCGCCAACAAAGGAATGTGAGATGGCTTTCAGATAATGTGAGGGTCCAGACTTTTATATAATACCTGAGTTGAGAAAGGGAAAGTCACGCATGGAGGCAGAACGCACAGGGTTCCAGATCGTGCCAGTTTACAACTTCTGTCCACCCTGACCTGTGGGAATAGCTCCCAATTTGAATGGCTTTAAGAGAGAATTAGGCAGGACCAGGGCTAACAGTGGATTCTAATTGCGATGGTAACATCGAGGGAGTTTTCTACACAAGGCATTCAGTATGTGCTTGTCATTCCCTACGCATTGTTGTTGATCTTTTTTTTGGAAGTATTATTCCACCAACATATGGAGGGGCAAATTATTCCTGAAATAATAAGCAGGTTCCTTAAGGGCACGCTTTTATGGTTGTACCCTTGATGCTGCTGCTCGGTTCAGGGGAACTCAGAGGCTTCTGGTCCTCCTGTAAAGAGCAGGAGGAGCGGTAAAGGTGATCTGTACCTCCCATCGCCTTAATTTCAGCTAGGAAGGCTTTTTGTGCCATCTTGCAAATGTGTTTCAGAGGGGAAGGGAAGGGGCTGGCAAGAGCTCAGGATTGCTAATGTCTTGACCCTCCCAGGCTCCTGGCCTCCCTCTGGAATATCCCTTTCCCCCCTCTCTGAGTCACTTTCCCAACTTTGCAGAGTAGTTACTACAGCTCTTTCCATGCCGGATATGAAGTGGCAGGAAGGCCCTCTCCCTGATGAGTCCAGTGCCAAGCTTCAAGGTTGCAGGGCAGTCGCTGACCCAGAACTGGGAATATGAACTATCCTACAACCCATTGGATGCTACCCGGGGCCATAGTCTGGCTCCCCAGTTTAATCCAAGGAGCACTGCAGAAGGAAGGTTCCCTGTCCCTCTGCCCTCTTCCAGATGAGATAAAATTGAAATACGGGTGTTCATAAAACAAAAGCTTCCCCAACTCCCCTTGGGGTGCTTTCCCAAACAGGAGGAGCCCAAACCCCTTGAACTACTTTCAGGAGGAACAGACGTCTGCATTGTAGAAGAGAAGCAAGGGCATTTTCCTTCTATTATCTTCCTTAACGTATAAGTTTCATCCATTATTTTCATGAAATAAACAGTGTGAAAAATAATAGCAACAATCATTTTAGCTGATCGCTTTTCCCAAAACACTTTTACTGAGTGAACTGTTATGGCACAAAAAAAGTAATTATGAAATTACTGTTATTGCATTTTCTTGAAAGGCTGATTCTATAACTATTCTAGATAGATTCTTTTATTATTGCTGTTCTTCAGTTTGTTGTAAACCACCCGAGTGCAATTTATCGGGACACGGAAACATATAAATAATTTTAATTGGTTTATTGTGATTGAAAGCCTATAAAGATAAATATGGAAAAGGGTTTTTAGAGCACACAATTTCCTAGGAGACATGTTCACAAAGGAGCATTACATAAATCTGTGTGCAAAAATTCCAACTACCATTTCTTCGGTAAGATATTGGGAGTAACCAGGCAGCTGGCTGGGAACTGGCAATCACTCGTGCTAAAAGGAACAAAGGCTGCATTTTGCAACCTCAAACAGGAGAAAAGGGAAATTGTCAGAACTTACCGTAGAAGGTTCTCAGCGCCAGCCCTCATCCTCACTGCTTTCAGAATCTGTTGGTTCAGAGCTGCCCTCTGATTCTGCAGTTTGCTCCGTCCAGTCTCTGCAAGAGGGTTACATCCCTAGATTACAGAAAACACATTATTCACCGAAAGCTGAGAAAAAAATGGATGAGTGGATGCGCAAACACCTCTCTAAGTATACAAAGCTGATTTCTGTATTTGGAAAACCATGCAAGTCCATCCTGCACTGGACTACGCAATTGTTTTAGTAATGGGGAAAAAAGGGGGAATTTTCTGTATGACTAGGTAAACAATCCCATGTATGTGTAGAAAGAAATAATGCCCTACAACTCCCAGAATCCTCCAGGCAGCACTGCCTCAAGCAACTGGTCCAAATTTGAAGTTGTCCCATAGGAATTTTGGAATATCTTCCAGCCCTGAGTAAAAGGGACACTTTTTGTCAGAGCTGGCAAACACAATTCAAAATATTACTCTTCTGTCCTGGCTATTACAATAGCTGAAACTATTACTGCCCATATGGAGGTCTTCATAATGCTTAATGTTCAAGAAAACCTTGATTAGATTTTTTAAGGGTTGCATTCTGCATTCTGAATGTGACCTCAGAAAGAAAGCAAGGAGAAAAAGACACTGGCTATTTTGTTAAAGCAGAAGTGTTTTCATGTTTGTGGTCACCATTACATTTGAAGAAGAAACGGATGGGTAAGTAAGTGCACATATTTTCATGACTGCAGAACAGAATTAACATTCTGCTTATGAAGAATTCAACCAGCAGTGATGGCAGCAAAGCCCCAACACCCAGAAAATACAGACATCCAAGGTCACGTCCAGGATTTTGGGAAGCCCTGTTCAAGATGGCTCTGTTGGTCAGTGGCCAAGGCCCTGTGCTGAGACCGCCACATGTTGATGAAGGGTCCCAACTGCAAGTTTGTCTGGCAGCCATTTCCTACAATGCCCCAAAGTGATAGCATATCAGAGGCATTATGGGAAATTAAAACGGCCACCTGATAACTCCCAGTGGAGCCAATGGAAAAGGTCAGCACAGATGGCCCCTGCTGGGTCTTTGACAGATACGGCAGGTGCCAGGGACCATTCCAGGTCTGGGACAAGATCCTCTCACTGGACTCTGCTCCCTGGAAGTGCTCCGCTCCTCAGCAGTCTCCACTGGTACCCTGTGGCCTCCTCTTCTGGGTTCAATCTGACTACTTCCCAGAAGGAGAGAACAAGCTGAGTAAGGAGATAGGTTGAGCTCTTCACCACTTGGGCCCTTGAAGGCAGGTTGCAACAAGTTGCAACAGCAGCAGCATCATATAATACTTAGGAGGCTCCAAATTGTGACAGTAGCCCCCCTATTGGGATGAAGATCCTGACTGATACCCCAGGATACCAACCTCAGGCATCCCCTCTCAGCTATCTAGAGGTGCTGTATGTGCAGATATCATTGCTGCCATTTCCGTCTTTTGTACTTAAAGGGGTAGAGGGAAGTGATAGGTTAAAACAAAAACTTTTCTGAACATGTCTGGAAAGGCAATCCTTTAAAAATAAAATAAAATAAAAAACGATAAATAAACATATTCTCAAAATACAGTGGCTGGTGGAAAGGAATTCACTCACCATCACAAGCTAAGTACTCATCTCTTAACCCATTAAGCAAATCTGTGCAAAATATTAACCTGCATAGAAAAGAAGGTCTGTTTCCCTACTCAATAAACTTTTTTTTTGGGGGGGGGGGAATTCCAACTGCCAATGCAAGGACCTTGAAGGCATCTATGATGTTTCAGAAATGGTGGGCATTTCTTTAAAAATAAGGTCACATGATGGCCAACATCGTGCAGGGCCTTTTCTCGGTCCTAGCTTTCTACCACAAATGACTTAACACAGATTTCTCCAAACTGTTCCGTCCATATGTTTCTCACTACAGATTCCATCCTCCTTGACCACCAGCCACACAAGTGGGGGATGATGGAAGTTATTGTCCAAAGCACAACACCAGGACACCAGATTTGGGAAAGTTGCCCTAGCAAGTTAGCAAACAATGACCAAATCCTTTTCTCAACTTCTTTCCTAGATCTCAGGGGATCAGAACACTTCATCTTCATAACTTCTTCAGTATTTTAAAGCCAAAGTATTTAAAAAGGATTTCAAGCCTCATAAATTGTGGTCTGGCTTAATCCAATGGCAGGATAATTGCCTGGACTTCCTCTTTTAATGCTGCCCATGGTCTAGCATTGCGTTAGAACATGACCACTGTTGAAGTTTTAATCTCTGTTGGCTTACTCTGCAACAGTCTGTCCTGCACCATTTTAAAATGCTCAGAAAACACAACTATCCAAACCGACAGTTCAACTTAAGCCTTGTCAGCATGGGAATTTAGCAGGCTATGCACTTCGAAGTACCTCGATGTTTACATTTCTATATGCGCACATATATGCATTCAACATGCATCTGCTTCCCAAACAAAGGGGCAGGGAACTTACTTCTGCCCAAAGGCTGAACCCAGTTTCACTTGGGGGGTTTTTTTTGGGGGGGGGGTCAGGAGCCACACTGCAAGGGGTGGTGGAAACAAAGGCAAAAAGGGTGCAGAAATATGCCAGGATACTAAGCCCTGGGAGAGGCATTTGACACGGGGAAGGGGGGCAGAAGCCGGGAGGCCACCAAAGGATCAGCGACTGGGAAAAGGAGCACTGCCATCCCAAGAGCCCCTCTGAGGGCCAAATTCCTGCTGCAAGCGCGGGGTTGCCTGCACCTGCCTTAACAGTTCAAGCCTCACTCAAAAGACGTAACTGCTACCGACCTGAAGCAGGAGGAAGCATGCCCTGCCTAGCAACACTTTAATGCATCTTGCCTCAAAGTGGGGATTTTGCCATGAGCACACTGCCCAAAATAGGGGCTGCCCCATCAAAACAGAGGCAATGGGGTGCATGCATGTAATGCATGCCCCAAAGCTTACATAACTGTCTCCCAGAAGCATCACTATTGCCAGACAGCCTGAGCGGCATGTCGCCTTGCATGAAACTCGGGCTACTGATGCACTTTGCTCTGAAACAAACTACAAGGAAGAAAATGAAAATCAACCTGTAGGTAAGTTCAGGTGTCGCTTCCCTTATTGGTTAAGCAGGTCAGGCCACACATGCTTCCTCAATGCACCACGGGAAGAGCCCAACATCTGATCCTGACTATACTGCACATGCTTGAACAAGGGGAATGGGCTGCAGAAGGTCCCAGGTTCATCTCCAGCAGAAAAGGATCAGGCAGCCAGGGAGGAGAATGACCTCCACGGATAGCCTGGACAGCCCCTTCCAGAGTGGGTGACACTGTGCTGAAATGACGGACACATTGGCTGAACTGGTACAAGACAGCTTTGTTGAACTGCCTGAAACCTGGCCAGATCCACACAGAATCAGGACTTTCTGGCACCCTGTAAGGGACATACTGTGTTTCCATCACCACTAGAAAAAATAGACTAGGGTTGTAAGGCTGGGGTTTGGGCAGGAGTACTGCTGGAACCTGCTTTAATAGTCCAAGCAAGGTGCTCAAGTCATCCCCATTTGTTAGGGAAATGAAAGGAAAATGATTCAGCATTGTGCTTAGGAAATAACTGGAAATAACTGGGGATTCCTTTGGAGGGAGGGGCCATTAAGGGAAAAGGGCATACCTTCCCCTACAGTGGGGGATGCTACAGGCTTTTCATGATCTACTCTGGTTTTACTCAGACCCTGAGATCCATCATCCAGAGATTGGTGCAAGAGGCATGCCCTTTGAATTAAAAGAATTTTTAACCCAGGAATTTGTTCTGAGTCCCAGATCTGAATGAAGCTCACAGTTCTTCCATATACAAAAATCCATTCCTGGTTACTTCAAACGTCCTATACTTTGGTTGTTATTTCAGATGGGTTTCCTTATTGCTGACAGTGCTAATTAATTGGGAGTAGAAATCCCTGCTGATCTACTAGAAATCACTAGAAAAAAATACTAGAAAAAAAATCAACCAGTAGATCCAGATCTACTTTCTTATGAGGTTGTCCTGCCCCTGGGGAATGTAGGTGGCTGTGAAAGAAATGAAAGGACAGGCTGTAGTCTAGAGTGAGCGCGGGAATGACGGACTGAAGTCAACCTCTGTGAGCACCTTGCGATGTTGGCTGTCTCCCCACAAGCCTAACTCTAAGCCATGCTTCCCCTTTGGATCAACCTCAGATTTGGATCAATCCGTAAAGAAAAACAAAGACTATAAAATACCAATACACCTCCAGTGCCTGCCCCCTCTAACAGGAACCAAACCTACCCAAGTCCGGTGATCCTGAAATTTCTCACCATCTGGAGAAGTGAGGTGAGCAAAACAAACACAACAAAGCAAGAAGCATTTTTCTCATGATGGCACAACAGAGGAATGACAGACAGACTTGGCCACAGTCGAGAAAAAAGGCTTGTCAACCGCACCACTTGATACAGCAGGTGGGGAATTACATGTATGAATGTTTAACAGTGAAAAGGGAATCCTGGCACTGAACTGAGGAAGCAACACGAAGACTGATCTTCAGTCTGTGGAGAGAGGGCTCAGCTCTTGCACGGTACAGTCTGCTTGGACAGATCCGATTTTGTGAGGAAGAGGGAAAGATGTAGGAGGATGTCCTGGCTGCTTCAAGATTACTTAGTGAAGATTCTCAGGCAGAGTGTGAGAACCAGCCCATCTTGGAAACCTGAGCTGGAGTGGGAGGCAATGCAGGGGAAGCTCCTGGACTTGCACAGGGAACAGGTGAAGCGAGCAGGCCAGACACAAAGACTCCGACATTCCTGCTCTCTAGACCCCCAGCAGGATCTGGCCTGAGAGTGCAGTCAGAAGCTTTTGGAAGCAGAAGTTTCACTCTGGATTCAACTCTTCCCATGGGCAGATGCTTCTTTCACATCTCAAGGCTACATCATTGTTCTAGCACCTGTTAAGCTTGAATGAAAGGACTGTGTTTCTAAAGTTTCACCTGAGTTTTCTGGAGAGGAAAGGAGGGAGGGGGAGGCCTGCTCAGGACACAGTCCCTATTACTGACATTAATAGTGCTAAACTTTGTACATCTGAGAGAGGCAGCCTAGCTCCCTTAGATCCC